TTTTCTCAAACAACGTAAGAGTTTCTTCAATGTTTTTTTTTTACAAATTTTTTTTTTTTTTTTTTTTTTTTTTAATTTCAGTCGCTTACCGACGTGACATATGTCTCTTTGTTCCACGATAGAGTCGTAATTAAAGTCGCATTGTTTTAGCGCGGTCGAAATTAAACGAGCGAGTTGTTGCGCGCGGCGCGACGTGAATTAATTAAAAACAATATTTAATTAAACATTCAGTCCAGTTAGAACGGTAACTGCGATATCCCAAAGAACAAAGAGAGTTACGGAATGTCTTGCAATCTTAACCCTTCGTTCTTGTTGCAGATGCAATTCGCCCGGGGGGGACTCCTGTCAGCAAGCGTCGCGAAAACGCAGGAGAGGGATGATCGAAAAGAAGCGCCGCGACAGGATCAACGCGTCCCTCGGTGAGCTGAGGAGGCTGGTGCCGGCAGCCGCGAGGGATCCTCACAGCGGCAAGCTGGAGAAAGCGGAAATCCTGCAGCTCACCGTCGAGCATCTGCGCACGCTTCGTAATAAGGGTAAGTTCGATACTTTTTTTTTTTCAACCCTTCTTCGAGCTGTTTATTCAAATTAAATTGTGCGCGTCACACAAGAGGTGCAATTTCATCAATGCGTTTAATACACCACAGCCTTTCTTATAAATTTCTTAATTTTAAAAACAATGTTCAAACAATGTTCAATTTGTCAAACAGATTCTTAATTTTAATTAAAAAATCTCGAAGATTAATTCCAGTGAAGAATTTCAAAAGACTCGTAATGTTAGCAACAAAATTGATTTTAACTGCTATAGTTTATTTGTGTGTCGCACTATACGCCGTTACGATTATTTGAGAACCGTTTACCGCTTTACACGTAAGACCGGAAGTTGCGCAGGTCGAAAGAAGTAACGGTGCCGGGTAATAAGACTCCAGAATCCGGAAGAAACGCCTTTCCCCGTTGAATAAACAGCGGAACACGTAGTAGATTCTCGGGATCAATGAGATACCCTTTTTTTTTTGCTTTGAGATTGTGCATCGAGAATTAATACTTTATCCTTCCGACGAGAACGACGATTACGTCGATTTGAGTCTTACGCCATTATTGCATCTTTCTGGTGCTGCCTTCTGTGCTATCGGTCTTTTTTTTTTTTTTCACCGGAAGACACCTGTTGGGCGTACAACGCTAACTGTAATTGCGTAACCGAATGCCCATCTGTCGCCTCTGCGTTTCCTTATTAAGCAGATTCGAGAGCGATTATTGGCGTAGATTTTACACGAGATTTCTAAAATCAGTAGCTACAACATTTTATTCATGATTTTTTTTTCTAAAAACACTTTAATGAATTATTTGAATTATTTCTCTTTTTAACAGAAGTAAATAATTTGTTTCTATTATTTATCTATATTCTCAACGCCTCGTGTTTAGATATTCATCAGGTTTGTGACAATATCGTTTTCTCATCGTTGTGTGCGATCGGTACGCGATAAGACATTTTCGTAAAAGCGGCATCACAAACGCGACAAGGTGTCACGTAGTTTTCCCGTGAAGGCCGCACCATAAACGGGATCCTCGGTAAGCAGGTGCTGGACCGAGCGCGGAGATCCTGTGGGAAGCACAGGAAGTCAACGACTCTCGGGAAGTAGTGTTCCCACGATTGGTGGCGGGCAGACCCGGGGGTGAGGTGTGTTCCGCACGGCACCGCGCACCCCTCGCGAGGGAGGCGCTCGGCAGATCGGCCTGGGGCAGATGTCGAACCCTGTGGGAAACCAGCTAGCGCCCGGCGTGAAGCGTGTGCACGGACACGCACCACCACTAAAGCCGCGCTGTACGATTGTGCGCGTGAGCGGCTTCTTTTATTTGTAGACGAGCGAGGGGCGCGAGAGGACCATCCCCTCTTCCCCAAAAATGAGCGATATTAAATTTAATGTCATCAAATAAAAACTTCACGTGCAGAACTTTTTGCGCGTAATGTTAATTATGAAAATCGCTCTTCTTTTTGTTTACAACTCGAACGCCGAGCTTTGGCGGTCTCATTATTTTCTTATTAGTTTTATTTATCAAAAAAAAAAAACTACAGTAATTTTCTTTTATAAAAAAATTGTGTTCGCGCTTGTTTACTACACTCACGAGAGAACGTTTCTGAAAAACTCATTGATCTCTCGGTGTATGCACATGTTAGTTCCTGAGAGAGCACCTATGGTGTAAACACACAGGATATAAATATATCTTTTGTACGGATGTTTTCGAAGTTTCGAGACTACTTATCGAGTTTCAGAGATGATCAATCGCGCACGATTTGGCGTGTAGTACGCAATAGCTTTCCTCGTAAATGTTTGCACAGGGCGGTCTGAGAACTTGCATAATAACGTGGGACACTCCGCTTCGTTCATATGTACGCGTACGTGTGTGTGCGTATATCACGCATAAGACCGGGCTAGTCTCTATGGGGGTCTAAACGATTCCCACGCTACCTGTCCCATTCCACATATGCACAATAAAGTCGCCTGCTACCAAACCAAGGCGCCTGATCTCGCCACGGTGCACGTACGTCGGGCATTGTTGTGCCGCGAAAACCAAAAATGCACAAAGAGTCTCCGTCCGCAGATGCACTTCCACGTTGTCAATCTGCGGATCGCGTTTAACGCGATGCGGAAAAGTTTCGGTGATTATCTTCCACCTGCTTCTCTCTCTCTCTCTCTCTCTCTTACTATTTCTTTCTCAAAAAAAATATCACATTTCTCTGATGATAATCAATATTCCGAATAATAAACATAAAAAATTACTTTGTTCTATCTTGCTACATTAATATACACTTTTTAGCATACGTATTTTTAGTATTAATATGTAATGATACAACAGAGTTTAATAATTTTTTTTCAAATCACTTTACAAATCATCTCAATTTTCACGCAGAAAAAATTGTTGTATTCTCTTGCAAATCAATCTATAAATTTATTAAAAATTAGTAAGAACGAATATATATTCGTTTAGAGTTAAAAGTTACAAAGTTTACAATCAGTAGTTTTGAGATGAAAAATTTCGACAAACAATCGTTGTTATTGAAAAATTACACGTTTGGAAAATTTATAATTGCAGGACCGGAAGGTTACGACAGTACGAAGCTAGCTATGGATTATCACGCGGTTGGCTGGGGCGAATGCGCTGCAGAAGTGGGTCGCTATCTGGTGACCATGGAAGGCCTAGACGAACGGGATCCCCTTCGATTACGCCTGCTGTCGCACCTACAGAGTTTTCACCGCGAACATCCGCCGTCAGCCGTGCCGTCGGTTGTAGCACCTACGACGTTGACGTCTACCTCTTCTACCGTCAGTAGTTACGAACCACCACCGCCACCGCCTTCGAGCACAGTGTCGAGCGGAATGCCACCGGGTCCAGGAACTATGCCATCCCTACTCGGTGGCTGGGGCCAATATCCGGGTCAGTATCCCGGCCAGCAGCAGGGCAAACCTTATCGGCCATGGGGCGCGGAACTGGCGTACTGACCTTGATGTCTCGGCGCACAATCAGCGACGATCATAATTTGTCTCTGGTGCAAAAGTGATAAGCGACTGACAAAGTTTTAGAAATTTTTCAACAACTTGATGTTTTATATCAAGTATTTTCTGAATATTTTTTTACTTTTGACTAGCAATATTAACGTACCGTTTTTCTTATATCAGTGAAATAAAGAGAGAGAGGATTTATTTATCTAATAAAATATCTTTGGTTACGACAGAGTAGCGTTCGATTCTCACAAATCAATATCTACTAATTTAAATATGAATTGTAATATTTACAATTAGTAGATCATTTATTAGACGTACAAGCGGCGCGATTTTTTGCGCGCGTGCACAAAACGTAGTTTGTACAGTATTTTATAAATGTATCTCAGGAATTGTTTCATTGACCAAAACTGTACATCAATGTATTTTCTATGAGTGAGATAATGATAGTCATGCAAGAGAGTACCTAACGAAAAAAAAAAAAAGATATTTATTCATACAAAAAAATTGTACATAAATTGTATATAGACACAACGTGTAAATAACGTATGTTCGTAACTGTATCGCGTCTGTCAATGTGTACACATCGTTGTTTGTATATATCTCATTCGCTCTCTGTGCGATCGTCAATCGAACGATTGCGCGAGCGTGTAAAGTCCAACTCGAATAAAAAGAAAAAAATATATGAAAAAAAAAAAAAAAATAAAGTAACGATCGTCGCGTTCGAAACGTGCCATTACGCATTTAAATGCAAAGAGTGAAGTATGACTGTGAAAAGTTCAACCTATTTTTGCAATAAGATTTTGTAATAAAGCGATAGCAGTGAGAATACAAATAGAATACAGTTTGTACGTAATTTGCTCTATCGTGCACTTTCTTTCCTGAACTTTTCCTCCGCCAAAGTTCAATCAATAAATTTCCAAGAATCACGACGCTAATCGGGAATTCACGCGAATGTTAATCACACACGAAACAGAGTTTTCACACGTACGAGAGATAAGAATTGTTCTACATTCTTGCCGAACGTAACCGACGAGGTGGTTTCTTGACGCGCAGTAGCAAATCAGAGAGACAAACAATCAAAAATATCTCCTTATCAATCATTCGCAATTTAGAGAGACACTCAACGCGCGCAAACAAACATTTTTCGTGTTTGCGCGGAATCGCGTTGCGTAACGGAGAGCGTAATAGCGCGGACAAACCACGTCAAACATCCGTTCTATTACGCGCCAAACGTACGCGCAAACGAGTATATACGCTTTTGTGTTTTCATGTGTCTGTACGTACACGTCGTGCAAATTTACGAACGACGAAGAGCAAATTTCACATTCGGGGAGACGCGCGAACGAGTCGCGTTTTTTTTCTCTTCTTTCTCATGCAAAACCGCTTAATTGTCGCGGAATATTCCCGGATTCCGTGAAGAACAATGGGTCTTACGACCCCTTCCTTTTCTCGTATTATACTCGCAAACCGGTTTTGCGAGTCATTAGTTTTTGCAACACAGTTTCGCGCGCGCGACTTCTTTTTTCTTCTCTTTTCTTTTTCCTTTTTTTAACGAACTAGGACCAACAGCGATTACTAGTTGCCGGCTATTTTTGCTCGCGCGTACGTTTTCGCTGACGTACGCGTTACGAACGATGCGACAAAATCTAATTTTCGGGAATTATCGATACATATTGCGTGGGCACGTGCGCCCTATTGTTCGGGAGTGCTCGTTATGTACGTAAGTTTTTTTTTTCTTTCGAGTTGCACGCGCACATAATTGCCACAACGCGCCCACATAACGCGCCCCGACGTCTCGTCCAAAACTCCGAAGCCGCTTGTCAAAGTAATGATGCGGGGAGATCCTTTCTAGATCAGCGATGCAAACAGTGTGTAGTGTGTGTGATTTATGTTAAAATCATCAATAGACGTAAGTATAATCAGTACTTTTGGAAATTAATAAACGCACTTTTTTTTGGATAAATAGTTTATTTAATTTTAACTGTATATAATCACGTTATATATTTCTTAGAGAAATTAATATATTGTTAATTACTTTTTTAAATAAAAAAAGACTTTAATTGCAACACGATTTTTCAGGATTTCAAGATGTGAAATAAAAAACATTTGAAATATGTCCGCGGTTACCAAAAGTAATTTAAGAAGTAATAAAAAAAACATCGCAAAACTCATTAAGTATTTTACCTATCCTTAGTAGTTACTTACGAAAGAGAGAAAGAAAGAAAGAAAGCGGAAGAAAATAAAGAAGCGAGTCGGAAATAATCGTCTAAAGTAATAGACTACCTGTCGCAGAATGCTATAGGTCGACTTCATTACATGACCCCGCAAAATATTGTTCCATACGCGGTCGTTACACATAACAAGAAAATCGAGCGAATCGATATCATTACTAATTCAAACGAAGGACTTGCGCGCCTCTTACATATGTGATATCAATGCATATGGTTACTTCCACAACGTGTATGTCCTGCGTATGTATGTATGACGCCTTTGTACAAACATCGCGAGCGATCAATGAGACAGTGATGACAGGGGTCATGGGAACACATCGGAGATCGTCAATAAAACCATTTTATTTATGACACTCACGTCCGTTACAAAGTCACAGCCTTATCGAGACGCTTACGATAAAATATCTACACGCATCGCGCGCACCTACATATCCATATTTGTGATCTTCTTTTTCTTACACATAAATAAATTTTCTGCATCTATCCACAGAAACACAACATCATATACGTACATAGTTGTTGAAACTTTCTCCTCACAATCTGACACAAATCAATCAATAGGAAGAATAATTATGCAGTTTGCTACCTATTTCTTTTTTTTTTTTTGTTTTTAATTGAAGATTGACTCGAGCAAAGGTGCTGAAGAAACGATCGAATGTAGCAGAGGCTCGATTTCCGAGTGATTTCGGAGAAAACACAGATGCAATGTAGTTTCATTGCACAAATATTCTTGACAGTCAAGATTTTAAATAGATCATACCACAAATTTCCCACACTCTTATACAAATTGACTTTCAATTACCACTTGACGAAATGTAGCACACAATTGATTTTCAATCAAAATTTAATAAGCTTACCTACGGCGTGGGGAAGATAATTGTGTCAGCTAACTGATCTAACGGGTGCACCTTTCGACCGCGCAAAATATCGAACATCTAAGGACAATTTACGCCATTTAGCGCAAAATGATGATGACGATATCGAGTTAAAACGTCGATTCTTTCATTCATCGATAAATAGTAGAGAATTTGAAATGTTCTACGCGATAGTGTAATCAAATATATCTTACGCTTTGGTTCATCGACGTGGTATCAACGCGTCGACATATGTGCGTATTCGTGTGTCTCAGAAAGATATATGCGAGTGCACAAATATATACATATATGTATGTATATATAATATAAATTGATTTTTCAAAGAATTAAATAATATTATCTTTGTAGTTTTTAATTTTCTCGTCTCATCTCAATTCTTAATTTAATATTTTTAAATCTCTTTAGTTCTTACATATAATATATCGATTATAAATATAATTATCTGGACAAAGTGTAAAGTTTTTTTTGTGTACAATACACGTTTCGTACCAGCGAAAATAAATTATATCGACTACTACCTAAAATATTTCAAGATACCGAAACAGTATCTTGCACGAAATAGTGGTTCACGGGATTTAATCCCGATATATATATATATATATATATGTGTGTGTATATGTGACATATAAAATCACATGTTGAATAAAAAAATCTTGTTAAATTTCAGACACCATTTCTCTACACGAATAATCGTTGATATCTATATATTGCTAGGCGGTATATATATATATATATTTTTTTTTTTTTTTATACATATATAATTTTTTTTGTACTACATCATATATTGCTATTCACTATATCGAAAGAGATGACAACGCGTGCTATTTTTCTGCTCTTTCTAACTAATAAGACAGGAAACTTAAAGATATCAGATAACGTCGAACTAAATCACACGTGTAAAGCGAAACCATTTTAATTATGTATAATCTATTACGTGTAATAGTATAGCTCATCCGTTACCGTGCGATAATAAATAATTGCAATAACGCACATCTGCAATATAAACAAAATTACTAAACTTAATAAATGAGATCAAAAAAAAAAAAAAAAAAACGACAGCATATTTGTACGTAAATACGGCGCGTGTTGTAAAATAAATAAAATCTAGATTGGAAGACGAACTGGGAGAAGTAGAGAAATAAGATGTCATCATCAAAATATCGCATATCTCTCACGCATTCTTATCTCTCGACAATACGTTAAAGAAATCGACGATACAACGTCTACAATATATATATTAATAGTGCGAGGTCCAGCCACAGCTTCTTCCATCTTTTTTCCCGACTTGACGTAAAACGATGTATTTCGAAAAATATAGAAAATATATAGAAAATAAGAGGGAGAGCGTTTTCTTTTTGCGTAGACGCTCTCCGTGCGTGTGTGGAACGGATTACGGAGGGATTGTGATTAATCCTTAACCGGGATTAGCTACGAGTACCGCAATTTCTCGACGAGCCGTTTTTTTTTCTTTGGTACACCCATTGCAGCAGACGCACAACACACACACACACATACATATTGCATCTTCACAGAATTATTAGAACTCGTTTAAAAAAGAAAAAAACAAGAGATTAGATAGAGTATTCACGTACTCACCAGTCAAGGATTAAATATCGTTTCGGAAACGTATGCGTGTAATTTTTTCCATCCCCTTGGGGATGATTGCCCCATTGGGCAAATTTGATCGCGAGGACAAACGCGGCGAACGTTGTGTCGTCGTGCAACAAATACGGACGTTAGATTATCATCTCGTTCTCGCGGTTCTCGTTCTTTTGGTTCTCCTCGTGCTCGTTGCAGCAACAACAGTTTGACGTGCAGTCTTCCTGGTTTTCAGCCACGTACGTCATATACGTGTCGATGCTCTTGGTGTCTAAAGACGGCAGGGACCACGAGAGCGAAGTTGTCTCGAAGTCCGGAATGGCCGTGTGCCAGGAACTGGGATTGCGCGACTTCTTGGCTTTGCGACTCTTGGTGGAGAGCTTCTTAATGGCCTGGCGAGAAGCAAAGTATTATTCTGATAAGTAAAAGGTAGACGATAAAAAGAGAGAGAGAGAAAAAAAAGAGCCGGAGTGACACGAATTCTCATCGTGGTGAGTAGGACAAATAAGGACATCGATCCACGTTAATTCAACGCCGCGCAAAACAATTCCCATTTGAGCGGAATATGATTGTAACCAAAACTGCGTGCGAGTGTGTGTATTAACAGGAAGAAGTGAATTAGAGATGAGCGATTTTCCGTGATTGAGTCACAGAGTGGAACCAAAGAGCAAGCTGAGCAGGGGAAGAGGAGGAGAAAATTAGGTCGCACCTTATACAATTCAAAACGCGTGCGAAGCTACAATCGCCGTAAGAAAACGTTAATTAATAAACGTGTGTCGTCGAACATCGGAACTGCTTACCCGCAGAATTCTGCGGCCGGATTTGCCGAGAAACTTTTTCAGCATTGCTGAAATTCACGATGTTCGTCCGTTTTCTCTGACCTCTGTGTGTCGTTTCGACGTCGCGCACCGAGTGTGAAACACACGCCGGAGGATTGATTTTCGGCCGTGTGCGCGCGAGAATCCGCCTATCCGCCCAAAGCCTTCGATGTTCCGCTCTTGCTCCAGGTCCGTTCGTTCGTTCGATTTTAACACGAACGCTGCGGAGTCACGCGACAAAATACCGCTTCGGAGCACCACGCCACCCCATTTATGACCTCGGTCGGCTCCGGCCGCGCGCCCGATTCCGCACGATCATCCCCGAGCGCGGGACAGGCCCGCGCGCGCGTACGCGGATATTATCGCATTTCTCTTCGTGCGATCTCTCGAAGGGACTTCCGAGTTTGTACATACAACCGCGGGCGGTTATTTCCTCATAGCGCTTAAATCTCACAGAGAGAGGAGGCGGAGAGTAATGAGCAATTGGTAATTACGCTTGACTTGATGCAACAGCAATTTCCACGACGCCGTCGTCACGGAAGATTGATTTTAATTGACATAAATCGAGCTCAACAGATATAAACACGTATCTATAGATATACATATGTAGTAATATATTGTGCATATACGTGTTTCATGAATGTAAACGTGGTCGAACATTGTTGTGGAAGAAGATTGTGTAAGAAACCATTTTTTATTCTCTCTGCTCTGTTCGATCTAAAAAAATAGAAAAGAAATCAAAATTCTCTTATCATATATCACATATATATATATATATATATTCGATTTACTTGGCATAAATTTGACATTCGCACACAGAATTTATCGGCTGTTAAAACAGACATTTTGCGTGCACGCAAGATATAGTGGCTACTATATGGTATAACATGTGTACACAGAAACCAAAATATGATTCTATCTCTAGTCCAAACAAGAGATCGCGAGGTTTCGATTAATCAGTGCGCTCAATAAGAAGAGTACGCGCGCGTACACACGCGTATCACACGTGCGCCGCGTGATGGAACAGAACGAGTGTTCAATGGTCCGTAGGGATTGGAGACGAGAATAAGAACGAATTGGATTAATGTACGAATGATAGATGAGAAATCTCTCCAGTCAGACGCATTCGCTGATTGATAAAGTATGAACAATAATGAATTAACGATAATTCTATTGAATCTCGATGTGTCGAATATGTGAGTTGGTAAAACGCATCTCGAGAGAAAAATTGTTTGAAAATAACACACTTTATATCGAAGAAAAAAATATCTAATTTAACATCTCTCAATAAAAAACAATCTGAATCTCAAATGTAATTAAAAGAATCTTGATGTAATCGAGTTTTTTATTTCAATAATACTACGTTACAAAGGCGCGCGTAACCTAATCGTAGCTTGGGGGAGGTTGTGCATCGAGCGCGTCGAGGAGAAGAAATTGACAGCGAGCGCAAGTACAAATCCTAGAGAGAGTGGATGTATGTACTCTCTTTTTTTTTTTTTCTTTTCTCTTTCTCTCTCGGCTGCCTGCATACACGTGCACGTCGTGTGCGTGTGACGCGTGTGAGCGCGGCCGTTCTCACGCGGCGGCACGCGCCACGCCGTACGTAGGCTCCCTATGTACGTCGCGATGGCCACGTGCCACGCTCTTCCCCTCCTCGCTCTTTTTCTTCTTTTTCTCTCTCACTTCCACGAAAAACTCATAATTGTCATAACATTCGAACGAGCTGGGCCGTGGAAAAGATCGCTTCCAAGGGATTAAGATCATAAAAGCGCATTCGAATTCATAATCGTCAGTTCAGATTCTATTTTTGAGTCAAAAAAAAAAAAAAGAATAATTGTTGCAATATAATAATATTCGCGACTCTGAGAACATATATATCGATATGTTTGCAGAATTTTAATTGATATAATATATATATATGTCTGCTCGCTCGCGACATGTAAAACGCCATATTCCGTCAATTGTACACGAACGGAATGGTATCGCGAATGCGATCGTGCGCGCAGAATTTTTTATGTGAACAATTCGCGAACGCGATTCTCGTTACGTGCGCAACTCGATCGTTGTGCAGTTATTGCAACACGTTCGGCTTACTTCTTCTTTTTCGCGAGCGAGGGGGAAACCGATCGCCATCGGTGACGGAGTGTAACGAGCGGCGCGTGGCGCGGTCGCGTGGCTACAAATGCGCGCTCAAACATCGCAACCCGGCGAAAATAAGTTCTGTCTAATTGAGACGGCCATACCCATTATAGAGATTAGACTTCAAACGCGCGCGAAGAGAGAGACCTCGCCGTCAGTGGAGAGACCCCCGCGTGATTAATTAATACCCAAGATCGTTCGCGTGTTCTGTGTTTTTTCGGCCTTTGTGACACACAAACGGATTTATTTTGAAATGATTCGCGGAAGTCTCTTGGAAAGAGTACATTCTTTTGTTCCTGACAAATAAGAACTCACACTGTTTTTTTTTTTTTTTTGTTTTTTTGTTTGCTCTTTTCCTCCAACAGGAAACAGGACAAGATTAAAGAAGAAATTTTGTTCAAAATACAAATGAGAGCAGAGGAATTTGATTATAGTTTTGTTCGAATTGTAGAGAAAGAAAGAGATGTGTGATTACTGTATTGTAAAGTTGTTATTTTTCACAAATGTATAATATAAAAATATATATAATCGACTTGTTTAAATAATATATTATAGCTAGATGTCTCTTTCGTTACTTAAAAATCTCTAGTCAATGTTGAAATCATTGACGTACATACATCGTGGAATCTGCACTTCTGAGGTCAGCAGGTCACTTGTCTACAAAAAAATAAGACAAATTCTCGGCGCTAACAGCACCGGCGCTTCTGTTGCTATCGAACGTCAAACGCGTCATGAATTACGTAAGCGTTACGTCAGCATGACGTTCGAGAAAGAGAGAGAGAGAGAGAGAATCTCGATGTCGTAAATATTTACAAAAATCGGCGCGTCACGCGAACATTTGACACTCAATAAGCACGATGTCGTTAATGCAATTAGATACTATTTGCAGATCTCAAAGATTAAAAGATATTGTTCGGAATAAATATGAATTGTTCGTTGTATACGCTGTGTGTTCATAACATTTAATTCTGCAAACATACAAAAGTAACAATATCCTATATAAATTTATTGAAATATGTAATAGTATTATACATCTTTCTGTTTCTTTTTTTTTTATTCTCTATTCTTATATAAAAATAAATATTATTGCTCGTATATTGTCATTAATGTACAATATTAAGAGTGCTGATTAATTATATTATTATTGTTAATCATATCTTTCTCTTGTTTTTTTTTATGGCTATATTTGCGCTTATTTATTCTATAAATTTCTTATCCTATTCTTCGTTACTAAGTAAGGGAGTATGCAACATTTCTGGATCGTAAGGAATGTTTTTCTTGTTACCGGGTAATAACATTGGAACAACTTTGATGCGAAACTCATACGGTAGAAATTGAATACAAAAATCGTAAAAATCATTACGGGAACAGATGATGCTCAAACGAGCCATTTCCTTCATCAACGCCTCTAATTCATTTTTGTAGTTCTCATACTTTTTACGTCGTTCAATGAAGGAGACGGTTTTGGCTAACTCCTGCATAAACTTCTCGGATTTTACTCTTGTTGTCAAATTGTATTTAGGCTCCATACGTTTCCACAAAAATCGATAAAGATTGTCTGTAGCCCAGTGCTTTGGACGCGGCAGTCTTGGTGCTCTGTACACTTTTCCATTTACCAAAAATGCCTTGTCTATTGGCTTTTCAATCTTTGTAGGCATTTTTTTAATATCTCGTTTAAACGCAATGCCTTTGGGTTTTGCATTTTTTGCACTTGACGCAGATTCTTTCTTATCGTTTCTCGCAGTTTTTTTCATCACGATTATCTCGCGGTTCTTTATCCCCTCCAATTTTGCCTTAATCCTCTCCATTTTCTCATTAAAATCTTCAGAAACCATTTGTTTACTCGACGATAATTGTTTATCTGCCGTTGACGAAGATTGTTTGAAAAAAGTATCTATCGTTCTCGGCGTCTTCATCTTACTGATATTGAAAGCGGTGATATTTTTATTTAAAGATTTTCTTTTAATCGGTGCGTTGTAATTTTGGATGTCGTTCTCTTTTAAGTTCTTTTCTCGGCGTGAAGTTTCTCTGTTTTCTTGCAGATCATCTTTATTCAAATACGACACGATCGATGATGTCGAGCGTGTTACTGTCTTACTTTTATTCATTCTATTCTCTTCTTGTGCCGTGAATACATCTTCGTGATTATTCTTTTCTATTTCTAATGAATCAGCGGTTTCGAGAATTTTTTCAGGAATGTTGGCTTCACTTCTTGAAGAACGTTCTATTTGCAAACTATAATTATTCTGATTTTCTTCTTCTGAAGTATCTACTAATTGTTCATTAGTTTTTCTTGATGATGATGATCTTAGACTAAACAGAGATGTGTTTTTATTAATATCGATCTTACTCTTTGATCTTTGACCCAACTTGGGAGATCTTTTTGTCGATGAAAATGTTGCACCAGAAGTATCGAATATGTTTTGACTCGGATTGTCTTTAGATGAACTTGGATCCATTACGTTTTTACTGCTTGATATATCTTTATCTACATCGATCTTGCTTTTAGATCTACTGGCAAATTTTCTTAAAGAACTAACCGGAGATTGAGATTTTGGCTCTAATTCTGTATCATTAGAAGTATCAATACTTCGATTTGAATTATTAATTATACTAGTACTTCTTGCGTTCCCGCTGATTGACATATTTTTATCGATGTCGACCTCAGATTCAGCAGCAAATGTATTTGAAGTTACTAAAGATTGAAATTTTGCTACTGGTCGAGATTTTACATTAGAAGTATCACTCTTTTGACTTGAAGTACTTTTAGGCAAACTTGCACGTCTTGAGCTTTTGTTGAATGATGTATTTTTTTCAATCTCAGTGTTAGATCTACTAACTGATCTTTTTGAAGAATTGTTTAAAGATCTCGTTACTGGTAAAACTTTTGCATCACGAGTATCGATGTCTTGACTAGGAATTTCTTCAGATACACTTGTATTTGTATCTTCAGACAAAACATCTTTGAAAGCATTACTTGTTAAACTTCGTCGCGTGCGTTGCATAAACCGAGGTTTATGTTTGACAGACTCATTGTTCATTTCAAAATCACTTTCATCAGTGTTTTGTGTCTTATTAGTCTTTGTATTCTGAGTACTTTGAGTTGATAAGTTTGAAGAATCAATACTCTTACGTCGTAGTTGTAATGCTTCTATCAAGTCTGTTTTCGTTTGTTCATTAGTGTGATCGTTATTTGTATTGATATTTCTGTTTATCAAATGGCTCTTAGATTCTTTTACAAGCTCAATTGATTGTTTTCCAGTATTATGGTCTGAAATGTCTTGATTTAACATATCCTGGAAAACATTCTTATTTGTTATTGATTGTTTTCCAGTATTATGATCTGAAATGTCTTGATTTAACATATCCTGGAAAACATTCTTATTTGTTATTGATTGTTTTCCAGTATTATGATCTGAAATGTCTGGATTTAACATATCCTGGAAAACATTCTTATTTGTTATTGATTGTTTTCCAGTATTATGGTCTGAAATGTCTTGATTTAACATATCCTGAAAAACATTCTTATTTGTTATTTCTTCATCCTTCCTTTTTTTCTTGAAAATATTTGGTCGTAATTTAACAATATCTTCAGTCTCAAGATTTGAGCTCAAACTGTCATTTTCATTTGATTTTCTTTGCGAACCGTCTCCATCTGAAGCCTTATTAGATATATTGTTGTTTTGTTTTAATAGAACAGTTGTTGTGTTATCATTTAAAGCATTCAGAAAAGCATTGCTGTCACTCTTTCTATTTGCTGCTCTCAGAGGCAACTTTCTTCTTTTGACATCAGGTTCTTTTTCTGACTCAGATGTTGATACCTCCATAACATGACTTTTGATCAAACCTTAAAAAGTTATATATATATAGTTAGTATTATAGTATCAATTACTCTTGCAAATTATATAATACCTGCGCTATAATTGTGTTTTAAAGTTGAAATATTTTGTTCATCAGATTCCAAATATTTCCACCAGTTTGACTTATCATGAGTAGAGCTAGCATTCGAATTAAAACTCAATTGTGCAGATGTTTCATTTCCTTGATTATATGTTGAAGAATGAGGTAGAATTGTATTCTCTCCCAAATGTTTCCACCAAAATGTCTTTTCTGCAGAAAGAATGAACAATTGTAAAAATCTTGTTAAGTTTTGATATTAGTCTAGACATGTAAAGCCATAAGATAAAAAAATAAATAAATGGTAAAACAAAATTACACTCACCTTCACCCAAAATGTTTGTATCTGGATCGAGATACCCAGATCCAAAGGAGGAACCGACACTTCTGTTTACAGACAGTTGTTTAGATAACCGATTTGTAAGTCTTCTCTTAGCCATGATAAACTATATATAATCATACAACCTTATATAGACTAAGTATGAAGTTAAAAAATGTTTACTCTCTCTTTTTTGAAACTTTATATTTGTTGCAGTCACGCCGAATAAGGGATTTTGCGTTTATCTGACGGTTGAAGTAGCACTGCAAATGCTTTGGTATTAAATGATACTAACACCTCTACTGGAGAAGCCTAGAACTATTCTGAAGCGCGATACATTGGGTGCGTTCAGACAACTCAACAATTGCACAACAGTTGAGAGATAATCACTTCTGATTGGATCATACTTTTGGAACTGCAGCAGATTTTGAAGAATAGTCCTATCATAAGTGATGATCTCTCAACCGTTGAGTTGTCTGAACGCACTCATTAAAAATGCACAAGTAAATTCTTTGAACAAGATTTGTTTAAACACATGTATATTTTTTAAATATATTTTGCATAGAATATGTACAACACATACAACATGTACTACTCATTCTCATAATTTCCTAAGGCCTGTTCTACAATACAGTCGTAAGCCGTAAGAAATTGACCAATCACAATCGATTATTCTTCCATGATTTGTCTGTCTACAATGGAGAGTTGTAGGCCGTAATAGTAAGAAATTGACCAATCACAGACGAAGTACAGAAGAATAATCAATTGTGATTTGTCAATTTCTTACTATTACGGCCTACAACTCTCCATTGTAGACGGCTCTTAATATAGATACGACTAAATACAGTCACAGTAAAAAATAGTATTTTCTATTTAAGCATTGAAGAGAAGACTGAGAGCGGCCAGAGACATATGAAAAACTGTACTAGCTTTTCCGTTCCGTAAACCAGCGCTATGTCCATGGGTGGTGCACATTGGCAACTACGTAGCCATGTCCACACAACTTGTCGGTATGTAAGTTAAGCCCGTTCTACATTGATCGCAAGCTCAAACGCAAGGTATAGATCTCGTAGAATTGACCAATCACGCTGCTCAATTGGCTGATTTGATCAATACGATTAGTCAATTCTACCAGACCTGTTCCTTGCGTTTGCGCTTGCGATCAATGTAGAACAGGCTTAACATTACCACCACTGTAAAGAGCCGTCTACAATGGAGAGTTGTAGGCCGTAATAGTAAGAAATTGACCAATCACAGGCAATGTACAGAAGAATAATCGATTGTGATTTGTCAGTTTCTTACTGTTACAGTCTAAAACTCTCCATTGTAGACGACCCTTAAAACTTCCTGGTGTAAGACTCTGTATCGGGGCCATTTAAGCTACACTCGGTTCAATGAGAAAATAGGACACTACTCGCGCATAGGAGAGGAGGAAAAGCGGTCAAAGTGAGGATACCGCCCCGCCGCTACTCAGTACCGTAAACATAGATACAGCACGTTCAGGCCCGAATTTAGATTTTCAGTTGATGAAATAGGCACCCGCTGAATACTGTACGAGCGATACAGCACTGCGGAGTGGGAGGAGCTTTCTGGTAGAAGAGATGCGCAGAACGAACGCATTTTCGTCCATGGGTGTCCTATTCTCTCGTTGAACCGAGTAAAGTCTTGTATCTATATGGCATTTCCTCGATTTCCTCTCTCTTTCAAAAAGTGATCGCTCAAGATGGTTCCCATGACGTACATCCGTCCCCGGATTTGCCTGCCCCCACCACCGATACGTTCCCTCCTGTTTCTTTTTACTCAATGAGCCGGATAGAGCGTGATCAGTGTAATCGCGAGGTGGTGTGCGTGCGATGGTACGTGCAGGTTCGAATCAACAGATTCGAATGTGAGGTGAGAAAGATTTTGAACGTTTGTCAATCTTCTGGAACGCGACGCGAACGATGAGAAGGATGCCGAAGGTAATAGATCAGCTGCGCGCTACGTAATGCTCATTCGCTCCGTAAAGGGAGTATCGTGTTGTTGTGTGTGTCCGTCGATCAAGTGTCATCTGGGCCGATAACAGAAGGGAACAGGAATTAGGCGTGACTGTGCGCCGCGTATGGAAAGGCAGTTCTGTCGTCGACGCGGAGACGGAACGCGCGCATGCGAGAACGGGCGTACGCATGGGCTTTTTGACGGATACGTGCCCGCAATGGCGACGGTGCTAGACAACTCGCCTACTTTCTAAGTTCTCTCCGTGACCAGTGAGAGGTCTGTCTCGCATCTGTTTCGCCCGAGTATCCGTATCGCGCCGAGCTATGTGACTGGCGTGTATCGCGAACGTTCTTTGAACGAAGCGCCCCGTCCGTCTCTCGACCGGAGAAAAACGTCTCGGAAAAAAAAAAAAAAAAAAGAAAAAAACGTGTTTCGTAAGTGACAAAATTCGCATATTTGTTGTTACGATGCAGCAACCTCGTTGGGATTGCCAGGTGTTTCGGGTGTTCGGAATAATCGAAGAACGCGCAGAATCGTTCCTCCGAGATCGTTCCTCGCGGATGTGATATCCCTCGTTGCGCGTTTCCTCTCACGATAATCCAGCCGACGGTTCCGCCTGTTTTGCGGTCGCGCCTCGCGGATCTGTCGTCATCGGAACAACATATCTGTGACAGATCTCGGGATTTCAATTCTTGCTTTTGCATTGAATTGCTCTCTTTCTCTGCGCGAATTCGCTCAGAGGAAATGGACCACGCGAGTGATCGGATTGATTGGTGATAATTTAATAAAACTGTCCGCATACATTTGATTCTCCTTTCTTTATTTGTCTCGTATTACCAGCGAATGCTTGTTGCAAACAAGTGCGATCGAACAGTTTTCAATACAGCGATCGGTTGTGCGAAATTTCACATGCGAGAAACAGAACAACGTGCATTCAGTGGACGATAACAGGACGGAACTTGAATCGCCGCTTCAAGAGACATACACACACACACACGCACACACACACACACACATACACGGGAGTCAGATAAATAAATAAAAACGATCGTCGAACATGGGTAACTGCTTCAGCAATTTGAGAGACGTGGAGAAGGAGAAGCCGGACAGGATCAACCCCAACATAGAGACGGCGGTGCCGACCAGTCCGGTGCCAACGCCACCACCCGATCCCATCAGGCCGATACCGCAGATACCAGATACGGATGTCTCGTCGACCGCCAAGATATTCGTCGCCCTTTACGACTACGACGCGCGCACGGACGAGGATTTAAGCTTCCGTAAGGGCGAACACCTGGAGATACTCAATGACACGCAAGGAGACTGGTGGCTGGCGCGGAGTAAAAGGACCAGACAGGAGGGCTACATCCCCAGTAATTACGTCGCCAAATTGAAGTCGATCGAGGCAGAACCGTGAGTCGCTATTCGCCGGTTCATTCGGCGATTTTTATCTCAAACGTAACAGATAAGACAGACACTTGTTCGATTTTGATAACTATACGCGCGAGCAAATCTTGAGAACTTTTTTTTTTTTTTATCAAAATTTCATACTCTATTGTGATTTTTTTTTTTTTTTTATCACAGCGAAACAATATCTGGAAAATGATTGATTCGCGGCGAACGGTAAACGACAGCAAGTTTAATTTATCGATTTCCACGGCTAATTGAAAGAAGAAGGGAAAAAACAAATCTTTGATATTCACACAATGCTGTTTTGCGTTTGCAGATGGTATTTCAGAAAGATTAAGCGAATTGAGGCGGAGAAAAAGCTGCTGCTGCCGGAAAACGATCACGGCGCGTTTCTGATAAGAGATTCTGAGAGTCGGCACAACGATTACTCCCTTTCAGGTAACGTCATAGAACGATAATAGAAAACTACCGGTGTTGCGTCATAGCGGCACGATATCGTATCAAATAAATGAATTATAATGATCGGTCGGGGATCGCGCCGCGCTACAATATGAGTAGCGGAGCAGTAAAACGTAGCGAAATTGTGGGGACCATTGATAAGGCGGCAAAGCGAAATGTATTGATGATGATGATGATGATGATGATTGTTGGCAGTGCGTGACGGTGACACGGTGAAGCATTATCGTATCCGGCAATTGGACGAAGGTGGCTTTTTCATTGCCAGACGAACGACGTTCAGGAATCTTCAGGATCTTGTGGAGCATTACAGCAAGGACGCGGACGGGCTGTGCGTCAATCTCTGCAAGCCTTGTGTGCAGGTAAGCCGTCAGAAACGATTCGAAACAATCGCGCTTTCCGAGTACAATAGCGCCGATATAATTGACCGGTAGATAACAATTTTATGTGTTTGTTACTCGCTATTGTCAACAGTTGCGAGTCTTATTGAATTGAGGAGTTTAGACGGAGTTTTTTGCGCGGAAATATCGTAATTTTTATTTTTACAAATCCGTTAAAGACAAAAAAAAAAAAAAAAACATTTGATACAGAAAAATCGCATTCGGAACTTACCGAGTTGAAATATTGTTATTGATGTATAAATAAATTGATATTTCCGCGAAACGCGCTCTGTCCGAACTCTAATGTTTTCGCAGAAGCGACAACATGCGATTGATACGCTTGATTATTTGCCCTGATTATTAACAGTGGTAGTAATTATCAACACAACAATATCATGACTGTTATTATTGAGATCAGTTATCTTTTTTTGTTATCCTTTTTTTTTTTTTATATGAGTTTTGTTTCTCTCGTTCTGTTTGATATTATTTATACTAAACTATTATTTATATTAAACTATATTGGTGCGCGATACTTTGAAACTTCGAAAGTGTTGTTTCACACACAGATAAAACACATTTAGAAGAAAGAAAAAAAACCCACACATGTACAACGTGTCAGTTATAAACGTCGATTACTCTCTCGGATTCAGTTTCTTATTGTTGTTGAAACCTTCCGCGAACGAAAGACGTACAATGAGAAACACACAACAGACAAAAAGTGCACTTAGACCTTTGATCGAAAAAAAAAAAAAAAAAAAAAATTGAAAGAGAAAAAGCAAAGGATATCAAAATTGTTTAGAAGCGTCGATTAAGCACTTGTTTTGTGAAGTTGGATGTCTGAATAGACTGTGTTTGTTTGTCTGTTCATTGCTTGCCCTACTTCCCGGTGGATTTTCTTGGTAAATTGAACATCCTAATAATACGCCATCAAACACGTTTTTTATTCGATTCTGTTTCTTTTTTCTCTTCGACGTTATTAAAACGCTTCTCCATTTGTTTTGTTATTTGTTGTCTGGCCTTGTAAACGTATATATATATATATATATGTATATATACAGCACAAGCCTGTTCTGTATGGAATTATATTTCAGAAGCAGTAGAAAAATTGTCATTTCTCACTTTAGAGATATCATGTAAAAAAAAAAAAAAAAGACTATTTCTGTGTATACATTCGATGTAATTCCATTACTTATCTCTCTCTCTCTCTCTCTCTCTCTCTCTTATCAAGTTGTGTCTCACGCATTCATCAAATTCATTTAGCATCCTAGACCTCGCGAGAGAGGTGCATAACACACAGTGCATAGGTAAATATCAAAAGAAACGAGACTAGCAGTCGCACACTTGAAGAAAAAAAAAAAATTAACAATAAGACACCGACACCTTTTCTTTCCTTTGCGAAATGTCGCTCTCGCTTGTGTGAATAATATAGTTCAAATCCACACAAGACTTTATTTCGTACATACATACACACACACACACACACACACACACATACACACACGTAAATACATATGTAAGTTCTTCTCTCGTGCGTACTGACGTACAAAAAGAGCGAGGATCACGCTTGTCGGCTCGAATATATATACGCGCGCTCTCCAAATCCGTATTCTATATGTGCGGGATGTGTCGCGAAAGTATTTCTACGATATGCCATATGTATACATGCGCGTGTCTCTCTTCCGTTATTCGAGAGGCGGACGAGCGTGAACGAGCATATGATATGCATGCTATCACGTATAGATTATAGATGTACATGTATACCGAGTGTTTATAAGATACGCATAATTCGCAGCTTGTTTTTTTCTTTCCTAGCTGTGCAATACGTATTTGAATCATTTCTGCATATTACATGCGCAATATATTATTAGCAGTTTCTCGATCGGTACGGGGTCGAATCGCTTCCTCCCCCCCGGACGCGATTAGTGACGTCAATTTGGTCAAATCGATCAATCATCGTTGCTTGAATTGCGAAATGACGTCGTTAATCGCGCTCCAGGAGTCGACTCGACTCCCGTACCGGTCGAAAACGTTTGTACAATTCATTATTTCGTTTTCTTCTTCTCATCGTTCCTTCTCATCTTCTCCGAAATATGCGCACACGTTGCCGTTAGGAGAACTCTCGCGATTACACCTCATATCGCTGATCATTGTTGAGATTATCGCGCGATTGCAGGACGCAAAAGAGATCATCGTAGGTTTGTATTGACTCTCATCGTGGACAGATAAAAATCGAACGCTAGTGTTCTTTTTTTTTTCTTTTTTTTTTTTTCAGTGTGTGCGTAGAATTTGTTCATCAGCGCTTGGTTAGAATTCTTTTCTATGAGAGAAAACGAAACGAATATATAGCTCGCTCCATTTGAACGCAGCCGAAAAAAAGACAAAAATGAAAAGAAAACACAAATTTCTTTCTTGCACAATGTCAAATTTCACGCGAATCACCCATCGCTACGCCCCGGCGCGACGGCTGATTCCCGTTCTGGCTCTGTTCGACAGGTTGAGAAACCCGTAACCGAGGGCCTTAGTCATCGCACGCGAGATCAATGGGAGATCGACCGTTCGTCGCTGAAGTTCCTGAGAAAACTCGGCCAGGGTCAGTTCGGCGAGGTATGGGAGGGTCTGTGGAACAACACCACCCCGGTGGCGATCAAGACTCTCAAACCAGGCACCATGGATCCGAAGGACTTCCTTGCCGAAGCGCAGATCATGAAGAAACTGCGACACGCCAAGCTGATTCAATTGTACGCCGTCTGCACGATGGAAGAGCCGATCTACATCATTACGGAATTGATGAGAAACGGCAGTCTACTGGAATTCTTACAAGGTATGCAAGGTATGGTTTTGGAGATCCAGTTGGCTCTTTTATCATAATCGATGATACGCGTAAAAGTAACTTTTTTTTTATATTCTCTTTTTTATTCTCTTTTTAAATCGTTGAGAGATTTTGAATATATTTTTATAAACACTGTCAACATTTCTATTTGCCATTTAAATATTCAAGGACGTTCAACGCGATGAAGTTTGTTTCTTATTTATTTATTTCTCAATCGCATATTTTTTGACTGGTTCTTTAAAGTGTTGTCCTACAATACCGCGAGATCAACGATGTCAATACATTTTTTTATTAGATAATTAGATTATCATTGTATAGCGTGAAGTTGGGCTTTTCTTTTAGGGAAGGGTAGAGGCCTAAAATTGCAGCAATTGATCGACATGGCTGCGCAAATAGCTGCCGGCATGGCGTACTTGGAATCACAGAATTATATTCATCGAGATTTGGCTGCTCGTAACGTTCTCGTGGCTGATGGGAATATTGTGAAGATCGCGGACTTTGGCTTAGCCAGGCTCATCAAGGAAGACGAATATGAGGCGAGAATAGGCGCGCGTTTCCCTATCAAATGGACTGCGCCCGAAGCCGCCAATTACAGCAAATTCAGTATTAAATCTGACGTGTGGTCGTTCGGTATCCTCCTTACCGAATTGGTCACATACGGTAGGATACCTTATCCAGGTAAGATCTCTATTCAATTGTGAATTCATTACTTCTACATGTTTTTTATAAATCGAATATTAACGACACGCGAATGTGTTCTTCTCGTTTTTTTCTTAGGTATGACAAACGCTGAGGTTCTTCATCAGGTGGAGCACGGTTACAGGATGCCGTGTCCGCCCGGCTGCCCCGATACGCTTTACAACATTATGTTGGAATGTTGGAACAAAGACCCTATGAAGAGACCAACGTTCGAAACGCTCCAATGGAAGCTCGAAGACTTCTTCACCATGGAAGGTTCCGAGTACAAGGAAGCATCTGCGTATTAGACTAAGAGGAATCTGAATCCTTCTTCCACTTCATTGAAACACACGCATGATAGTTACGCAGCCGTTAGTTACTCGATACGATCATTACGGATCTTCTTCGTTGATCTTTTCGTGATGCATTTTTGCGATTTTTTTTTTGTTTTTTTTTGTTTTTTTTTTTTGTTTTTTTTCAAGAGAGAGAATACTGTACATTTTATACTCGAATCGATAACGTTTATTTTACATATTACTACGATAGTGTTGTTTTAAGGATAAGGTTTTTCCTCTCTTAACTCCTGCTTTTTCCTGTCTTTCCTGTTTTGTTTTTTATTTTAATTTTTTGTCTTATCATCGGCACATTCTGCCTGCCATAAAAAAAGCTCGAAGACCGACATTTAGACAATTTTATCTGTGACTTGACGTACATTGGCATTTTGATAATTTTTTTATTACGAGCGGCGAAGAAGTTTTAGATATTGTTTTAAAAAATTGCATTATATATATAAAAAAAAAAAAAAAAAACAAAACGGAACATTATACACATAGATGTTAAATGGCCTTTGTAAAATCGTTTATAGTATATCGGTTAGTGTAAGAGTAGAGATCTCGATCACTCGGGTAATAATCCGAATGATGATGCCGTCGCGCTCGGCAATAGTAGCGATGTAATATATTTGTGTACGATATATAAAAGTTACTTCTCTCTCTTTTTCCCGTATTACATTTATAAATACTATGAAACGACGAAAAAACTTGATCGAACTCTCTTGATATTAATCTACTGAGAAAGACGAAACGACGGACCACGCATACCTTCATCATTCCTTCTCTATTTACGCTCGGAGCGTGACGTCTCGAATTAATTGTAACAAAATCCCTCTTTCCCTTCTCGATGTTAGAAGGAATTGGACGCGCAAGAGTCGCCGACGAAACGAAATCTCGCGCACGCGAAAAAAGGGAAAATTTTTAATAACCGGTCCGTCCAAGACAACGCGGAAGACTGTGTCCTATGGCGACTGCGTCGAATGATGTTATCCTCTTTCGATTGTTCTGTCTACACTTGTCATAAACTTATTAATACCGATACAGACTGCTAGAAAACGTTTTTTCTATAACTGATACTGTTTATTGTAACAGCGTAAAACTCCCTTCCAAAAGTAGATAATCTTGAACTAGAGATCTTGTCTGACGAGACAAGATGAGATTGGCATATAATAAATATTAATTGAACGTTTTTTTGTTTTTTTCAAGTATTACGAGACGAAATCTTAGATCAATTGTGTCATCTCTCCATTATTTGGTCATTTTCTCGTTATCATCAATTTTATATATTTTTATATGATATATATATATATATATATATATATCGCGCGTCCATTTGACATTTTTATTATAATTATTTATCACACCTTAACTTTTCACACCCCATTCGCGACAAGTGATTCAAACTTGATAATAATTATTATATTATACATATATATATATATATATATATATACACACACGCGTAAAAAGTTAGCGATTATTATATTGAATATACTTCGTATATATAAATACATGAAAAAAATAATACGCAATTATATAGGATACTTTAGGGCAATACTCTTTAATCTCCTTTTTCGCATTACACACGCACAAATTTGTACGGAATGTGCCAAAATGTGTCGCCATTCCCTCTGTTTGTCGATTTATCGAACAAACGTAGAGTTGTGGATATATATCGTATCTGATATTGTTTTCTGTGTGTAGCTCTTCCTCACTATTGAAGGAAATATGAGAGAGAATAATGCTGGTGGGATGTTGTCACCAAATTCTCTGAAATTGGCAATAGCTTTTCCTGGTAAAGCTGAGTAATTATCTGGGCAAAACATGCTGCAATTCTTGGTAGTGTGATAATCTCTGGGTCGACAAGCCCAGTGCTTCAGCTCGTTGTCTTCTTTCTCCTTCCCCATTGGCTCTGATTCCATATTTTGCAACAAGCATCGTCAAAACATTCCCAAAGTCTCTAGAACTTTTGCGGGCTATTTTGGTCACTACAGGTTTTCTGTTTAGGAAGACAATTACAAGGAAAGTTATATCTTCTAGCAGAGTTTCATGGTTTGAGTAATGCCATACTCTGTCTGTCCACTCTATCCTCATAATGCAACTCATATACTTGTCCTTTACTTTATCTCTTATTATATAATATTATCTCTTCATTTATTTTATCTCTTGCGAGACTTTTAAGAAGAAAGTTTCCCTTCTTAAACAATCTATAATATGTCTACGCTCGCTATTACCTTTTGTAAGAAATCTAAATCTTTTTACTTCTTCTTCATCCTTATGTATGGTTTCTAAATGCTGAACTATTTTTGTCTGCATTTTGTAACACAAAAAAACAAAACTTAGTTTTATCCTCCCTCCATGCTCTAATAAGCTTTCTAAGCAACAAGGTGAGGTCAAAACCTTGATACCTGCATGCGTTAACCATTCGCTGCATTGCCTCTGGGTTTACATCAACATAAACAGTCTCTACTAGCATAATTCCAATGCGTAGAACTAAGGTCTGCCATTCTCAGAAGGTGGTCTACAAATGATCTTCGATCAAGAGCTCGAATTCTCCCACTTTGAAAATCAATCATGTGCTTGGCAATCTCTTTCATAAAAAGTGTCTGCATTCATGTTTAGAAAAGTCAAGAACTTCATCATTGATATCAAAGTCAATTCGGTTCGCTACTAAACCAAACCTAGCATGTGTCTAACAGCAGCTTCTTCTTGATCATTTAATGCCAAGGGTTCTGCCATCTGTGGCCTTGCATTTCTCCACCAACTGCTCCCAACATTTTTTTGTCATCATTATCTGGCTACTATTATGTTGCACCTCTCTATTAACCCTAATTTGCCGCCATGTCCCTAAAATTGTGTATGTTTTGTCTCATATGATGGCTCTAACTTTCTAATTAATCTCGAAGAGATGTCAGTGGTTGCTCTATAATAACCAGGTGTCTTTTGAGATGTTGTGGAACACTATAATATCTAAGGGCTTAGAATTTTTACCGTTTGAGAGTTATACAGATTTGCTAAGCTGTGCAGGTTTTTGATTGTTTTGTAAATCTATATAAATGGCTAAAGAGAGATAAAAGAGAATTTAAATATCTTATTTCTCTTTTTAATCTTCTAACTTCCCACCAGTTTTGTAACCACAAGCCACCTTACTCCGACTGATCACAAAATCAAGATCCTTATTAAAGAACTATCTTCTCGCACAGTGATCACACAATCCAATGGATTAATGGTAATCCACATTTATTATTGTGTGCCTGTGCCAATGTGTGTGATCGAGTGAGTTTTTTCGTCCGTAATAAGAAGTGTGGAGAGACTGTTGCACTTTTTTTAGAAGTCTCTTTTACATTAATTTTACTGATAAGCTCTTAGAATTTAGAGAGCCGTCAATTCGAATTATATCTGAAGACAACTTTTTATAGAAACTATTCCAATTTTGCGAAACACGCCCTTCGCGTATACGCAATTCGATATGTGTATCTCTCTCCGGATATACTCGGAGCATCTTGGCGTGCGTGCGTGTGTGTATGTGCGTGCGTGTGTTTATATGTACGCAAAATCGATCTAGCGTCTAGTTTTTTTTGTGTTTGAAATCACAGAGCTGTGTTAATAGTACTAAAGTGCATATTCGCAGATTTCGAAGATGTGTGTGTGTGTGTGTGTGTATGTGTGCGCGCGCTTGCGAGCAGTATATATGACTAAAACGCAATAAACCCACACTTGATCACTTTGTGTACAATGTCGCCTCGTTTAACGATGCAAAATATCGTTCAGTTTTTCGTAAACAGAAGCGGCAAAATTTGTTTGAGAAAACTCAAACGAATTTTGTTTTACATTTCGATAGAGAGAAAGAAATATACTCGCAAAGTTTATCGTCGCAAATCGTACGCAAGAATGTAATGTAACCGATCGTTAATTGTGACACTACACCGACAAAAAACAAACAGGATGACGAAACTGTTATCGTACAACACAAAACTTACATGTAACAAACAATAATGAAATGTATAATGCAACGAGAGATTGTAAGCACAAAACAGATGAAAGTTTACCGAAGCTATACTGTTAATCACCCATATAGGTAAGCTCTTTTCCTCCGCGGAGTAGAAGGAAAAGTGATTTCCAATGGAATTATACAATAGGAATTATTGTGACGAGTAAAAGTAACAAATATATATATATATATATATATAAATATACTTTAGATGTAAGAAATAAGTGACGAAAATAAATGCGTTTTGTTTATAAACATTGGAATTTCTTAAATTTCTGACATGTTGTATTTATAAAAATTAATAAATATATATATATATACATATATATATATATATATACATGTATATATATTAGATAATATATATATTTTGGTCAGAAAATATATATAAATATATATTGGTCAGAAAGTTCCGTATTAAAATATGTAAAGTCTTTTCGTATTTTAATTACGAATTTTAATACGAAGATACAAAAAAACTTTCTGACCAACTCAATACATTTAAATAAATATAAATATAAATATATATATATATACATATATATATATATATATATATATATTATACAAATAAAATAAATAAATAAATATATATTATATGCTATATATTGCACACACATTTCACATATGTATCAACAAACACGTTGAGAAAATACTGTTCGAAAGAGGCGCATCAAAAGGAAGAGTACGTGAAACGAGAAGAGAGCTGAAGAAGAGGCGAAGAGCCGTGTTCTCAGTGTGTATCGCACACACGGCGATTCACTAGATGCAAAATCACCAGAGCAAACGGGCGCCGCTTGGCGACAGGTGTCTTGCGCGCTGCGCACAGGTGTACAACGTCAGTCGGCCAGTGGTGGTCAGCGGCGCGCATTCGTGCGTGCGTGGCGTGCCATGCCTCTGCGTGCGTGCATGCTTGCGTGCGTGCGTGCATGCGTGCTTTCCGTTCCGCCGTGCTGTCAGTTCCGTCGTCGTGAGAGAAGAGAGCCTGTCTCGTTGTAACGCGCCGCGAGTGAGTTTCCTCCGTTTTTATCTCAGCGCGAGAAGAACTTGGATTTTGCCTATCTCACGCGCGAGAGAGCGATATTTCGCGCGAGTTGTAACGAGCAGAAACACGGCGCGACGCCGCGTGTCGGAGTTCTGAATAATGACTCGGTCGAGGCGCAAAGTCATCGACTCGAGAATACCCAGAAGGGAGAAGAGGTGAGAAAGACGAAAGGAGAGAAAATAGGATAGATCCTTCGCGCGTTCTCTGTCTGTCTCTCTCTTTCTCTCTCTCTCTCTCTCTTTTTTCCTTCTCTTTCTCTCAATCTATCTTGATTATATAGCTTTCGAATAATAATAAAAAGTGGAATTTTTGCGTACGACGCAAACAGCGATCTACACGCAAGGCCGATCGATCGACGGATCATCATGGATTCACGCTGTGGAACATTATGCTAATCGCCCTTACAGAATGCGGGAGGAAGAGCTCGAGATATCACTCAAGGTAATCTCGCGACAACTTCGTTCCTTTCAGTTTTTTTTATCGTGATGTTTTTTTCTTTTATAATTTTTTTTTTTTATTTTTTTTTTTTTTTATTTGTCTCTTTGTTCTTTTCTACGTTTCAGGCTTCGCACACACGAGCGCACTTTGTTTCCACGTGCAGAGAGAACATTTTTATATAAATTGTGCCGGAAAGGAGACAAAGTTCGTGTAAAGTTCGTGTGTCACCTGTTGCGCGAATTTACTCGGATGGCAAAGGAAAGCGGCTCACACACGCGATCGACCACACCTCGCCGCACATTTTGCGTGTGTGTGCGTGTGTTCTCGCGTTTGTTGTGTCAAAACACTTTCTAATTGTCGCTAATGTCGACGTTAAATTGCAATTATATATAATAAATTATATTATAAATTGCAATTATGTTGCAATTATCCGCTCAAATAATTCTTTCGGGAGATGATAAACAAAAATAAAAGACTACTTTCTACGTCGTAACGAGATCATCTTTTGCGCGTATATTCTTGGATTTTTCCGAACGCGACTCTCCGACGCGCGGAGGATCGTCTCGCGATGAATTTCGCGATTAAAACACGCGAGTTACAAAACCCCGGCGCGATGATCCTCGCGCGGAGAAACGCAAATTGCCGCATTCCGATTCTTCCTTTCGAAAAACACTCGAGCTTCGCTTGAATTCAACGCAAATCGACTGCGTTCACCTGCGTAGCTGCGCGCATGCCGACGATCGCGGGACGCACCGCGTTATATGTGAGGTTTATTTAATTTGAGAAAAATAAAGAGAAAACCATTGGCGTTGAATCTCTCTCGCATACTCGGTGATGCTCCAGTGAGCTCCGCTTATCTACCGATTTGCCGGTAACGGTATCTACTCGTATTTTCACCGCGCGCACGTATGTTAGCGAAGATTATTATACATACATACGGCAATACCTTGTGCGTTTTTTTATTTATTTATTATGTTTTGACGCGAGATATTCTCTGAACAATATTTGCTTTACTTTAAGTTTTAAATCCCGTATGTTGTTCTCAAACGGAGACGAGATCAACTTTTTTTTGGTGAGATCGTCCGAGTTTTTTTTACGACTTTTATCGATTTAACCCACTTCCTGCTGTGTTTCACGCGACACGGTGCCGATGATATTTGGTAAAAATATTTGGGACAGACGTACCTAATATTCCGCGCGATTCTTGATTGATTCGCTTAATATTGTCGGTATGCAAGAGTACGTTATAAAAAATAATTAAAATTGAGAATGAGAAAATATTATATCTCATTATTTTTGCTTTCTGTTCTGTTTTTTCTATTGTTGAGATGAAAAATATTTAACAATTAATAAAAATTATTTCTCTCGACACGTGCTTAACGACGACACATTTTCGTCGATGTTTTTCCACAAAGGTGGTTCACTCGTTATTCTTTCAGGTGGTGATAGTAGGCAATGGTGCCGTGGGGAAATCGTCGATGATTCAAAGGTTCTGCAAAGGTACATATACGAGGGACTACAAGAAAACGATCGGCGTGGACTTCCTGGAGCGTGAGATCGAGTAAGTAATTGCTCGCCGAGTGAGTTTTCACAGACGAACGCTTTTTATTGAAACTTCGCCCCGTTTTAAACTTCGGGGGCTTTCGATATAAAAGCGACCGTTCCAGCGAATCTTTGAGAAACAGAAATACAAAAAGAAGATAAGGAATGAGAAATATATTCGAGACTTAAAAGAGGATCGGATATTTCGCGGATGTTGCGAGTATCAGAACGAATTAATTATGTAAGTTCGTTCTCCTGTCAAAATATCAATCTGATTATTCACAGCTGGCGTCGTAACGTTACGTCCGTACGTCGTACACGGGGTTCGAGAGAGTATAACGCGTCTGAGAACACAATTTTAATCGCGCCAGCCACCGTGGGATATTTCTCGTATCTTCTCTAAGATGACCGGTATAATGTCGGCCAATGCACAAGAGACAATTTTGCTTTTCGCTAAATAATCTGTTGTTTATTTTTTTCAACATCTTGCTCTTCGCGAAAATCGCCCAATTCTCGATATATAAACTTTCTCAAAAGTTTTTTAAAAAATATAAAACTTATATTAAACATATATATTTATATGAGTACAAATTTATACAAGAGAACCACACACAAATATATTTATTTGCAAATATAAGTTTTATATTCATTCCCGTTGTGTCTCTTTCTTGTTGTCTTGACAGAGTCGACGGCGAGGATGTAAGACTCATGTTGTGGGATACCGCGGGACAGGAAGAATTCGATGCGATCACCGCGGCTTATTATCGCGGCGCTCATGCCTGTGTCCTCGCTTATTCCGCCACCGACAGAGACTCCTTCGACGCTATTCCCTCGTGGAAGCTCAAGGTATCCAAGTCTCGACAAATTTTTATTATTCGCTATTGATTGAGAAAAGCAATTATCTGTCCTTAAAAGACAAGCGATTTTTGTTTATCATCATTTGTATCATTCTGCTTTTCTTTTCGCAGGTGGAGAACGAATGCGGAGAAATTCCCACGGTCCTGGTGCAAAACAAGATCGACCTCGTCGATCAGTGCGTGATCGATCCGTAAGTTATAACGTCATTCACAATATAAATTCGGATTCGGATCTTTGATTTGACTCTTCATATCGTGCAGAGATGAAGCCGAGAGGCTCGGCCGCGCCTTGGACTGCAAGCTTTTGCGGACATCCGTGAAGGAGGACATCGGCGTGATGAGCGTTTTCCGGCACTTGGCGTCGCGATGCCTGCACGAGATGCGGCGCTCCGACGACGACTATCAGGACGACCTGAGATTGTATTCCGCGGAACCCAGATCTCCCTCCGTCATCAGTACGATCGGAATTATGATCTTAACATACACACTGCGTTCGGCATTGCAAATCAGAATGCTCTTTTATCTCCGGAAAAATTTGTGTAATGCAAGTGGTCGATTATTTGCATTCGTCGATTTTACACCTTCGATGTGTCTTCGATTTGCAATATCGAACGCAGTTAATAATAATACATTCGCGCTACAAAGGACTTATTGGATCTTCTGACGATGCATCGTTTTTCTACGTTCGCAGGTGCGTTCAATCCGGACGGATCGATGTGCGGCCGTAACGCCGGTAACGGAACGATAATCCTTCGACCGGGCGGCAAAACGAAGAATCACAAGAAACGTAATTTTGTGAAAAATGCCTGCAGACTGTTGTAGGCGTGTTCCTAATATCGTTACAGTGTGTGCGCGCGAACCGACAAACGTTACATATCGACAATCGACATATCGCGCGAGAGCGTTGAGAATCACACGAGGTGCTTTGTAAATATACACAGTTTATTATGTATATGTGTGAAGAACGATATATAAATTTACAATGTTCGGTAGTGTAAGCTCGTCAAAATTTCTAACAGACTATATATATATATATATGCGATAATGATATAACACGCAACACATAATATACGTATAACATTTTAGAAATTTATATTAATAACCAATGAAGAAAAAGGTAATAATGCTCATAACGTTAACCAAATAATGTAGATTGTAAGGATTTTTGAAAGAGATTAAAAACGTCAGTTACTGACTGTGTGTGCGTATTGCCAACTTTATTACGAATGAAAAACTAACAACGATAAGTACGACGCTCAATTGGCGAATAAACGCTCGCCGCATTCTCTCCAATCACCACCTTTCCTTAAATCACGTCGTATTTGTCGATTACGGACTTGATAGGATTAAAACCAATGTTAATATTAACGTAGGATTTATAGTGACGATAAGGATAATAATAACAACAATGTAAGGTATTTACAGAGTTCAATCACAGGGAAATTTAAGTTTATCTCAAGATTGCAATGAGATATATATATATATATATATGTATAATCCAACAACTCAGCTCCGACAAAAACTTGATAAATTACAAATACCAAAATAAAAATGCGTTTCTAAACGTCGGTGCGAGCTACAAATCTCCTAGGGGTAAACAATAATTGTTTAAATCTATTGTATATGTTACATTGTTCTTGTGTTCATTCTTTTATATACTGTAGAAACACAATAAAAGTTTTTTTGTACATTTGTACTAGAAAGTAGAGTAATACGGGTTTTGAGTCAAATCTCAACAGACGATCTCTCTCAAACGTGTACTCGAACGTAGACAGAACAAAAGAAAGACAACACGTACTTCGAATCATCCATCAAGACTTTTATTCTTGATTTTATGATTAAAAATCAGATATAAATCACACAAACAGAAAAATTTTTACTTCGATGTTGTTCGTGACTTGCCAAAAATTCTGCATTTCCTCTAGAAAGTCGTCTTTATTTCAAAATGCATATAATTTTTTTTTTTTTAGATCTGAAAATCGGTATTAATCCTGGATTGATCACACACCCATATACACACACGCACGCACGTACGTACATCAAGCCGCATCTGTTCAGTAACATAAAGTTTTATCTAAAGTGCTGATATATTACACATTGTAGGACAAAAAATTTAGATATCGAGTAAGGAATTGTCAGTAGGCGGCGCCGCGTTTTGTTTGCACGCTACATCTCTAATTGGCCTATTATCTAAGAAGTAGTTTACTCTAAAATAGAAAGTGGAAACTTAATATGGAAACTTAGCGCGCAAAGAATGTGATTTTTGTCTGTTTTTTTTTTTTTTTTGCTTGTTCCGCCTATATATCCGTTACAAAAACAGAATAGGAATATCGATGAACTTTGACATCTTAAAATCGGAAAAGACGAAGCACAAACAACTAAGAATCGTTTATTCAGCGATCTCATGGATGTCTTCACTGTGCCATCTCCAAAATATGCATCTTATCGATGTAATCTAACAGTCCCTGTAATCTCTTCTTGACTCGCTTCTGATCGTCCAGTGTGCATCCGAGAATAGCAGTTTCAAAGATTTTGTCGGAATGTCCCATTCCATGAGATGAGCACGCGTTCATAAACTCGGCGCATCTCTGTCGAGTGCCACTCGGATCTTGGCGCAAACCCACAACCAGACTGTCGATCAAGCCATTGACCTTGACAAAACAAAGCAATATATATATATACCAATGAAAAATTAAAATTTTTTTGTTTTAAGTTAAAAAACCGTTTTTTTAATTATTTAACATGTATAACATAATTAGTCGCGCAGTTCCTACAATGTATTCGCAAATTTTCACATACCTGATGTAAAGCTTCTTCCTGAATATGATCACGTTGCACTGTGACCAGAACATCCACAGTGGAACATCGCATGGATAGTCTCTCGGCATACCTCAAAATGTCATCTCTGTCAGCTATACAAAGTGATAAACAATTATTAAGATATAATGTACATTAAAAAAGTCATTTGTATCAAGAAATTCTTGTGTTTCAAAATTAAATTATATTTCATATTGAAAAAATAGCGCAGAAAAAAAACATTTTAACGTGTCCACTCACGTTCTTCGAGGGCGTGCAGCATATCGTTATTTCTGAGAGTGTCTAAGGTCGTCAACAAAGAATCCTTTTCCTCTTCGAGTCTAGAGGCATCCTTTCGCAGCTGCTCGACATGCATCTCAATCTGATCCAAAAGTACGACTAACCTATCTTTCGGTTTCGCCTCGTTGCCGTGTTGCGGTTCACTCTCCATGACGCGTTTTCTCGTTTGTCATCGACGTTTTCGCGAACCAATTCAACTCTCGACGATGTCGATGCGAAAAAAGCCCGTTAACGAAACAAATACGCGCCGAATAAAATCTTTCTTGCGCACCGATCTCGCGTACCCAGCGTTGCACGCAGCTTGGTCGTTTTCAATCGACTGAACTCGAATCGGTCGGACTAATTAACGCGAATACGCACCGCGAGCACGCGATACCTCGCGACCGTGAACGCGCGACACGATGACAATGCGACGAGATGACTGCCAATTTTTCCTCTCACGATTGTACAAATCCGATACGACGCGATAAAAAAGCACAACTTGCACGATTCGAATTTATCTGAACGGGAAACGATTCGACTCTGACGAATCGCAACAGTGCCGCGTTATTATTATATCGCAATAATCGCGTTCTGATATTCAATGCCGGAATGACGATGATCCTTATAACACATGTAACGTAAACTGTATATATTTTCACTAACGTCAGCGAGTTCGGAATATGTTGCTTATCCGCAAACTTGTTACACGCACTTTCCACAGTGCGTGGATGTTCTTTCTTTGTTTTTTTTTTCTTCTAACGTTCGAACATAAGTTTGTCTCTTCTTTCAAACTTTAAAATGTATGTACAGTTGGCAAAACTTTGTTCCCGCAACTTCTCGAAACTACCGCAGATTGACGTATGGGCGGATGAACGGAGCCGCTAAAAAAAAATTCTGTTCAGTTCTTCTCGAAACTACACGTCGCGACGCGAAAAAAACCGAATTTTGAGTTTTAACTTGTTTGTCCTAATTTATTATCTACAAAATTAGTATTTATATGAAAATATTGTACTTCAGTGTGGAAAAAAAACGCGTATAAACGTTTTGAATTGTAAAAGATTTTATTTCAAAGCAGGATCCTAACTTATCGACACTTGTACGTCAAACTTGTATTAATTTAAATAAAATGCTTAATCGTCTCAACATTTCCGTCGTTATCCTCGTAATTTCTATCAAAATTGTTTTGTTTTTTGTTTTTTTTTTTTTTTACAATTATGTTTTTCTTTTTAGATTTTTATCGTTAAACCTGAACTTTTGGTTGCTGATTTGAACCTCAACTAGTCAGAATCGATTATGATTCCGCGTATACATAGTTTTTGTCACGATTAACGTAGTTTCCGGTCGCTTCTATCTCTTTCCGGAAAGCGTGGAAAACGTGCTCCAGGTAAGTGTGATGATTATTCAATATTTTTCAATCAATTTCGTTGTTTTATCATTGTTTATTGTTTCTTCAAAGCTTCACGAGTTTTCTTCAAAGAGCTCGCTATTCTGTACAATCAAATTTGTATTGCGTTTCTCCAAAGGTCTCATTAAAATTTTGTTGTGTTTTAGGTTTTAGGTTAATACCAGATACCAGATAGTAATATTGCAACATGGTGAGTAAATAAGTGTTTATTATTATTTTTTTTATTATTTTATTTTTTTAATTTGTTTTAAATGTGTGATCCCATTACATGTGATATTTGATGCTTTCGCAGTGTATTACATTAACATTCAAAGATGTTTTTCGGGTTTGAACCGCGTTAGTGTCATTTTTATATACCGACGTTTTGTGAAAATTTCAGCTCGCTTCATCAGGGTTTCAAGAGCAGCCCGATGTTCAAACCCGAAAAACATCTTTGATCCCATTACATCTTTTGAATATATAAGAGTGTGTCATTTGTGCTTGAAATAAGTTTATCAGGAGATTTGTGTGCTGTATACATAATCCTGAGCTCAAATTTCATAGTTGCATTTTTATAAGAGTGAATATTTGCTTGTATTTTCAGCCACGCGAAATTAAGGAGATCAAGGATTTTCTCCTCAAAGCCAGAAGGAAAGATGCAAAGTGTAAGTTGTTTAACACAGATTTCAAGATTCAATTTTCTATATAGTATCTTGTGTACACCTCGTGTTTCATGTGGTTACTTTTCTGTTTTCTTTTTTAGCTGTAAAAATTAAGAAGAATGCGGACAATGTAAAGTTCAAAGTTCGTTGCTCGAGATTTTTATACACTCTTGTGATTACAGACAAAGAGAAAGCTGAGAAGCTCAAGCAATCTCTTCCACCAGGTATATAATAATGTCAAAAGTGTTGATCAAATCCTATAATATAAACTAAGATTGTAACTTGGTTATGTATTTTTTTTTTTTTACATACATAGTTGACCTACACATATACATGCACACAAGGTGTGATATATGTATATAAAATGTCTTGAAAGTTCTTAATGGATTTTGTATATATATTTTTTTAGGTCTACAAGTCAAGGAAGTAAAGAGGAGCGAACGTGTATAAATTATGACGAAATAAATTCTGATTAAATAAATACATTGTCTTACATTTTCCTTCTTATACTTGAATGTTTATTACATATAAGTGATTTGTTCACAGTAATAAAATTAGTGATTTCTTATAAGGTCTAATAACTTACGAAATATATGTATATTCTCTATACAGCTTAAGAAATTCTTTTATTCGGTCAAATTTTTAAAAATATAATTTTTTCTTTTTTTTTATTGCAATATGATAAATATTGACTGTTTAGATTTTCAAGGCGTGCGTATAAATCTAAACGTAAGATTTCTTTTTATGTAAGAATTTGCAGTAATTTGTGCAATATAAAGTTGTTTTGACTGAGTACATAGTGATGAGCAGCTCTGTACACATCGCGATCTAATTTTTTAGTATAAGCAAAAGCAAAAAACCAAAAAGGACACAACATATTGCAGAGGATTTGTTCCAATATTATTACATTTATCTCTAGTCTGTAGATAAAATATGCGTAAAAATAGAAGAATATAATCTCAGATTGAACATGCTTCTACGAAAGAATGAGGAGAACGGGGGAGTTCCAGAGGGAAGATAAAGGCTTCCGAAAAAAATTTCAACGTTGCGTTATCCATAGTTATTAACAATTTATCATTATATTCATTTAAATTACTTCATTATCAGTATAAATGTGTAAACTCCACTCTATAATGAATTTAAATGACTGTAAATATACTGACACGATTGCTATAAATTAGTGGACTTATCAAGAAATAAGTTTTTTATTTCGCTTGATAATCCTATATAGTCTACATGTCAGATCGTGCACACAATTTCAAACCTGATTATCAATCATTTGAGCTTCTTTGAGCGACTTTTTTTTCTTTTCGTGCAACTACCACGACTTGGCAATTTGTATGATTCCCAAATCGCGACTGGCCGATGTAACTATAGAAATTTTTTGTAAATAGATATTTTTAATAAAATATTCAAAGTGCTGTCAGGTTTGCTCATCACTGTAAGATTGAATATGTAAATTATCAAAGTAATTTTTTTAAGTAGTTATTTTGTAATACGAAAACGTTCACACGGCTCTTCATGTCACTGATGTTAATTTAACGCGATCGTGTAAAAGACCAGAAGTCTCAAATTAAATTTGTAGTTTATGCATAGTAAGTGATGCAACTATATAGAATATAATTTTTCCTACTACTCACGTCTTCACCACAACAGAATAGACCACGTGACAATATTGTGACATAATTTGTATTTAAATGAACGGTCACGTGATGCATTACTCTTATATGATAGAAGGGCGAGTTTGCTTTGGGGTATCAGTCTGTCTTTATTGCTCTTTAAAAACAAAACAAAGATAGACTGACGCGTGAACACGCCCAAGATGAACACACTTGTAGTAGGAGAAATCACACAGGGTAGCTATTACGTAATTTTTCGAAATCAATTGCGATCACAATAAATTTTGCTCTTTTTGATTGATGTTTCGTTTTAAGACAACAAATAAAAGACAGAAAAATTTTGATCGACATTCAATTCCGAAAAACTCAGTACAAATGTATGTAACATTTTTGAAAAAGCTATCTCTCACATATAGATACAACACACGCATACACATATCTTAAGTGTACTACTGTTTTTATTCACATACTAGTCTCTACTTTTGGATAGAGACTGCTCTATGCATATATATATATATATGGATTTTATAATATATTTATATATATATATATATATATATAATACCATAAGTAGCAAATTATTTGAAGTTTTGATATATTTGTTTTTCTCTTTTTTCTCCCTCTTTCTTTCCCCCTTCCCTCCATAAAAAAAAATATCCATTTTTTTCAAACTACAAACTATATATTTATATACTTTTATATATGTTTTTTTTTGAATAAGTAAAATAAAAATTGGGGAATATTGTAGCGCTTAGGTACTTTATTCATCGCACTCGTGATAAGTAGCCCTGTAAGTTGTAAGAGAATATACATTTTTTATGTAAGTCATAGAATCATACAATAAATCAACACAATAAGCCACACTGACATGAAAAAAATAAAATAAAATAAAATTACCTCTGCTTGTCTCTGTTACGTTTCGACAATCTTCTTCCGGCGTCATGTGTCGATAATGTATATCGTTTTGTGTGCACACGATTTGTCCGAAGTTCTCGCATGTCAGCAGTCTTTACTTTTTCCAGTTTCTCCATAAATCTTGAGATTAGATACGGACAATTCAAGTTACTCTCTGGTTCCCAACTGTCATGAGCTGGACTGAATCCTTTCCATCTGATTAAGAATTCACGAGTACCATTTTTCTTAAAATGCACCTCAATTATTTTTTCAACTTCAAATTCTTTTGCATTCTCTGAATCTTTCTCGTCTTTCTTGTGTTCTTCTCCTGAAAATATAATTCAAAAAGACTTTTTCAAAATAAACAATATTACAATATTACAAAAGATATGAAAGAATTACAATACAATTTCCTGTGTTAACAAGACAACATACCATCTTCTGTGTCCTTTTTTGGAGTACCTTTAGATTTTTTTGTTTTGCTTGTTTTGGGTACACTAATGTTTTGAGATTCAAATTCTTTATCTTTTTCTTCCTCTAGATATTCTTGTATCAAGTTGGGACAATTCAAATCTTTCTCATTTTCCCAAGTATCGGCAGATTCTCCATATCCCTTCCAACGTACCAAAAATTGCCGACGACCTTTAATAGTGCGAAGATTCACGAGTTTTTCAACCTGAATAAAAACCCATACATACTTTCAGCAAATAAAAAAAAAGTATTTATATTGTTGTATGTTTTAATTTGACAATTCTTTTTTAAGAACACAGATCTTAGCAGAAAAGAACAATAGGTTTCAAAACCGAACAGAAATTAGTAAAATTTCAATTCTTGTTTATCTCATCTTATACAACTAATAATTGATAAACATAGAGAATTGTGGAAATAATAGTTGAATTAATAAACATAATGCTTAATGAAGTTATCAGTAATCACTGTTATGATAAATATTGTTAAAGTGAATATTTATCTAAAAATAAACTTTAGTCAGAGATAATACTTCGCTCATAGACAACTTAAAGGTGAGAATTTACTATTAAGTGCCAATGTTTGTCAAATGATACAGAAATAAACAAATATGAGCACCTCGTATTCATCTTCATCATCACTGGATTTATCGTGGCTGGAGGTAGACGCCGCCTTATCTTCCTTTTTTTTGCGTTTGTTGGGGGACGACTTCTGGCTCGGAGACGTTTTCTGGCCGTTTTCGCGCTCTTTTTCCGGCTCGTCCGACGGATTCTTCGCCTCGGCGTTGTCATCCGTTGCGCTGCGCGATGCCGAATGTCGCTTTGTGACGCTTTTTCGTACGGTCGATGTCTTATTATTCTTGCCGGGTGTCCCGCCGTTGTTTACGCCATTTTCTTCCGACTCGTCTTCGCTTGTAGCCTCGGACTTTCGTTTGTTCCTCATGCTAAGTCGACGCATATTGCCGCGATATTGTTGACAGATATCTTGCACGTATCACAATCTTTACAGCAGGAATTGTGACTCTTCCTTTTATTTTCCCTCCTTGTCTCTCCTACTCTTCCTCTGTATTTTTCTCACCGGTTATCTCGCAACTTCGTCAATTAAATACTGAAATGGACGCCTTCCCGCCACAGTAACACTTAAGTCTGTTCTACAATAAGTCGTATGTCGTTGTTGGGTGTCACCGGTCTTCTGTCGCGATCGGCTCATTGGCTCGTGTGGCCTTGAATATGACCAATGGCTACGACATAAGACTTATGTAGCGATAAACGACCGATTGTATAAGAGACTTAATGGCTGTTGGCACGCAGTACACATCAGCGAGTTTGAACGTTCCAATAAAAAACGAAATAACAGAAATGAAACAACAGAAGAAGAGATATGGCGAGAAATTAGCCAATTAAAGTAATTCCGTTTTTCTTTTTGAAGACTAACTGACTAAGCGATTTCGGCTGGTCTGCACCGGTGCTACCTGTGAGTAGAGTTGGTGCAAGTGTGTGCAGTACGTACACTCGTGTGGTGTTGCACTGGATATCTCGACCACGGTAGTGTTATATCAGCCGAACACGAGACCACACCAACTGGCTTCAACCAATTTGTGAGAGCCACTTTGTGTACACACAACATGCATCTATGCGGTGTACTGAGCTCAGACGAATACGCGGCACCAGCAAGGAACTGTACCATTCGACCAGCCGAACACACCGACACTCGAAATGTGCACTCGGTGCAAACCAACCGAAATCGCTATAACTGACTTATGATTTCGTTATCGACGCGGCAGTTCGAAATACAAGCGGTTAGTCGGTAAGATCGTATACTACACAAACCAACGTCAGTAAATAAAAATGCGTCATCTTGATCAATTTGGTTCTGGTCCGTGCTATGTGCGCGCGCATTGCCGTGCGCGTCGATACTTCGATACTTCGATTCTCGATATACCGCGCCCTCGAGATACATTCAAACTCGCGGACGAATCATAGCGGACGCGGAGCGGACCCTACGTTCGCCTACTGTTCCAGTATTTATCTCGCAATTATTATTATTTCGCGTGCGAATATCAGTCGTATCATGTGAAATCTAAAATCGAACTAAATGTGATATCACAGTGATATGTAATTAGTATTGCTGATAGTCGTAATCGGCTGGTATACGATGAAATTTGTTTCGCGACCGTTCGCGCGAAACAAAATAGCAAACGCGCGACGCGGGAAGAACTTCTTTCGAATTGATACGTATTTTTCGCGATTATTATCTGCGTCTCGCGCGCAAATAGAGCGAGTGTCGTAAAATATCGAACGTTTCGCTTTCCGCGCGCTCGCAAGATATATATACTTCTCTCTGACTACACTAATTTTCATTCTCGCTTGTTTAAGAACATATTGATGCGCATATTGGAGACAGTGACTGGATGTGTTTTCGGTATTTATACACATTAATCGAATTAGATTAACGTGCGTAACAGCGAAGTGAATTAAATAAGCAGTGCGACGAATCACGAAGCCGAAACACAAAATAAATGGTGAGAAGTAAGGATGCGTTTAGTGACGCACTTAACTTCCTAGATGCGCAAATAATCAGGCGCTAATTGCTCATCTCGCGAATCGGCTAATTAATTAGTCGTTGACAAAACGTACATAAACGTTTTTGTTTCGTCGTCACCGACCTTAAAAGAATGCTGAAATGATGGCTAAAGTCAAAAAATTTTACCTTTGATTGTGATCAAAAAACGTTTTTAGTGTGAACTATCTTGTATATTAAATTTAAAGTCGAAGATTTTAAGACGCATTATGCATTTCTGAAAAGTCACTGTTCAAACAATATCTGCGTTGAAAGTAAAGATACTACGATACATTTTATTGTCAAAACATTAAAAATATCGTGTGAGTGATATTATGTTAGAAAAGTTTTGCAAGAAAATTATGTAGAAAACATAAACAGTTTTTCAAGAAATCGTACTTTTTTTTTGTACAATCAAATGTGTTCTATCAGATATACATATATAGTTGATTCATCTTATTCCATATTATTTACAATTACTGGTACATACTCTGGTAGTTGCGATACGAGTGTACAATTGCACAGTCGGAAGTGCTTATAAGATAAGTAAGTTAGTTACTTTCTGCCAGATTTATTTGTGCTTTTGCCATATGAAATTAATTTTTTTAAATAAATAAATAAATATTTATTGCATTCTGAGACGCAGTTTATTTTTTATCCATTTTGTGTTTCGTTTAGTTGTATCATTTATATTTGTATTTCAAGATCAATACGAGTTTACTCATTGCTTATCTCGTTACGTTGTCTTGACAACGTTGCCACAGCAATCAAAACTAGCGTGTGAGCTGCAGTTTGCATTTTTATCCATTTTTTCTCTCTGTACTCCGTTTTTATTAAGCTTTTATTGTTTGACGTTTTTCTTATCAAACAAATCTTTATCGAGATGGCTAAATTTGTGAATTATTATGAGAAGCCCATATCCCATATTAGTTTGCCGGACTGGTACGCCAAACAATGGGAGCTTCAACAGAATGCGAATGTCAGGAGATCCGAGGCCTGTCAGTTACGCAATTCGAGCAGAAGCGCACGTTCTGAAGCAAATGTGAAAATAAAATGGGACACTTACCTAAACAACTCTCGATTAGCGGACAGGTAACCGCAAATTATGTATTTATATATTTATCGAATTTTATTTTAAGATTTGTTGAATTTTTTTAAAGATTTTTCTCACTTGCGTAATCAAAATTATTTATTACTTAAATCGCAAATGAGTTTTTACTTGTATAAATACTGAAAAAAACGTACTTCGACAATGAGATTTGATCGAAAATGAAATATTTTATTCTGTCAGAGTAACAGAATTGTCGAATTGGAAGGATGTGTTCGAAAACTTATTACAAAAGTTGTCAAACGAAATGTGCTTGCTGAACAACGAGAAAGCTACCACGGAAAAAGACATTGAAAGTATTAACCATCCCTTACAAATTGCCAACAAATGCATCTCGATCAGGGATTGTCGTAGAAAAACCGAGCTCACGTACGATGAGGCTGACGTGGAACTGAAAAAGGAACTCTGTATGATTGCAAAGATTCAGGAGACATTTACGCAAAGGTGACAAAAACCGATAATACGAAATGAAAAAATACTTTCAAGAACATTTTCCGAAGTTTTACCTTTATCTATATATACTGCGCAGAGTACACGACGCTTGGGAAAAGCTAAATTCCTTAGAAAGTATTAGATATAAACTCAATGTCGATATAGAGGATAAAAACAAATCTATCGGAATAGATAGAGACAATTTGGAAATGGATCACACTTCCGCAAATTTAAGTCACAAACCAACGACATCGTCAACTGGGAAAATGAAGTAAACACGTTTAAGAGATCGTCACATACAAAATGGCATAACTGCATATGTATAGCATAAAACTCTCCAATGAGCATCTAAAAGTGTAAAATCTCGTTTCATTGATTAACAAACCTCAACATAAAACTTTGGTGTATACTAATTGATCAAGTTAATTTTATGCTATGCGATTTTGTGTGCGATGGTCCTATGTCGTATACATAATTTTTATATTGCAGTTAATTTGTCGCGCTTATCTCGTTTTACTCCGACACAGTTCAATCACGCACGAGATCTGGTTGGACCAATGTCTCTCTACTAAGATGTTATTGGAAAACGAATTGCACGACTGTTACACCTTCCGCGAAGCCATGCGCGTAATGAGGGAATGCGCGTGGAACGATATCAGAGGTCAACAAGAAGCGACAGATTACATCCTGAGGAAAAGAATTTATCAAACGCAAAAAACCAAAAACGAGTTAGAGTGGCAGAAACTTAAGGTTTCTCTGTGGTTGTTTTCATTTTTATATATATTAATTTTAATTGCATCAAAAAAGAAAGGAATAAGAACAAATTGAAACATTTATATCGAACGTTACATCAAATATGCGACAAAATAGTTTTTTCTCATTTATATGTTGTTCAATCGAAATAGGTGCAAAAAGAAATTGAGATGATCGATAAGGAAATGAATCAGTTGGAAGAAATGTTGGCGAGTAAAATAAATGTATTAAAATGCGCCGAGACACGGTTGGAAAATCGCGTTTATCGATCGGGATCGGAACTCTGTAAAGACGAGGTGGAATTAGGTTTGAAGAACGAAGTACTGAGTTTTAAACAAACCGAGGAAGATCTAATCAAAATTCTCGAGCATGTAAAGTACGTATATTTGTATTTATAGTGCGATATTGTTAATGTAATTTCGGATTGTTGGATATTTACATTTTGGTTTGTATTAATTTTCGAATGAAACAAACAACAAGTTTGACTCGAGATTTTTACATTTCAGATCGAGCCACAACAGTTTGAAATCTCTGCTCGCGCGTATTGACAAAGACTTGGAAGATAAACAACATTCTTTGAACACCGACGTTGTGTGTTTGGATACAAGATCGTCATTGAAAACAGGAAACAAATCGGAATTAACCAACGAGACAGACCGTAACATCGTACTGACGCGTATGGAGAAAGAAATTCCAATGGAATCGTAACTTCGTCATTAATTTACGCCTTATTGAATTTATTTTTAATATAAAAGACATCTAACACATTTTCATTTTTCTATCTCTGTAGCGTAAAATACTTGTGTTATATAAAACAATATATTCAGCTTTAAATTAAAAACTGTGTGTTCTCACATATAGATATAAACAAAATGCAATTTACATGCATAATTAAGTTTTATACACGGAGTATTAAACTGGATTTACAACAAGTGCGAATCGCAACATATTTCATAGTATATAACTATTGATATTTAATGAGACATAGCACGGAACAGAACCAGGTGTAATCGACTGGAAAGGTTTATGGATATGGCTCGCGATAATAACGGAAACAGATTGCCGTTGTGGATGTAGGTCTTGCTAAAACTCACCCGAGTATCGCTAGATGACGTTCGCTGTCCGTTGTTGCTATCATAGATGTTGTGATGTGACTGATGCTGTTAAAAAATGTCAAGACCATGTATATAAATTTTTATCTGTAAGTAATTTAATATCTCTACTATATAGAATTTCTCTTTCTTGTTTAAAATTATATATTTTTAATCTTACGATTATTCCTTTCTCTCTTTCAAATACTTAAAAATATTAAATTATAAAACTCAAACTCCGAGCCATTGTATGCGCAAATGTTTAGGTATGTGTGATAAAAAGATAATGGATTTTTTTTTATAATATATAAAGTTTAAAACCAAATCTATAAGGAAAAACTTGATCAACCGGTAGATTGTTTGTTTTACCAGTCTTGTGTGATATGTACGAAAAACTCTAAGATGAAATAATGCGTATAAACATATGCCACACACATTATACAGATATATGTATATATATATATATATATAATTGTATATTTAAATTACACAACACACATACACACAAATTACAACGTTTCGTAAAACATTATGGACAAACCGTGAGAGGTCGAGAATAGGCGGTGCATACAAAATTTGATTAGCGCACTTTTAAACCGCGTTCGTCGACTCTATTGCTGCGTTATATTTGTAAATGAGGTATATTTCGTATTTAAAAGTAATTGTGTAATATAAAGTCTCGGGAGCGGGGACAAGCTGGAAAACGCGTGAAAAATCGTTGATCGCTGAGAAAAGGACAAAACGGGAGAAAAAAAGGAGCGAAAAAAGAGAAAGGCGAAAGAAGGACAAAGAGGATGAGGTAAGATGTGAAAAAAAACCAAAGAACAACGTGTGTTGTATTATGGTACAACAAATTGAAAAACAACGACGATGATAATTCGAACGAATCGATCTCTTTTGGAAGGACATGCGCGAGAGAGACGGGATAAGGTGTATAGTAAATAGATACAGACAAATATAAATAGATATGTTACCTTCGTTTTTCGTCTAACACTCGACTAAGTCAACTAACACAACGATCCGATCGATCGAACTATTACAATTAACAATTGGCGCGCTGTATACAAAGCGGCGGACTATACAGACAGAATTTTTGGCCTCCTGCGCGCTCTCCCCGAGAATAGGACATTTGCATACTTGTGTCGGAACGTAACGGAATGTCCAAAACGCGAAATTGCTTTTCGCTGACGCTTATACGTTCTTTCTCTTTTACTCTTTATTCCCTCATATCTCTTTCTCTTGTTATAGCGCGTCGTCTCTCTACAGGGACAGATGGTAACTTTTTGGGACCCGAACCTCACTTCCAAGGATATTATAAAGCAAATATAGTTTTCGTCAATCTTAGTTTCGGATTAAGAAAAAACTAATTAACGCGAACGTAATTTCTTTTGTTTTGAATAAAATTATTTTAAAAATTGCTCGCGGTAATACACAAAGGTTCTTAGAAGTGAAATGCTATCTGTAAGTTTGTGAAAAAAATATCAAAAAAATTTAATTATTAAATTAAGCGAATATTTTTTTCTTCAAGAGAGATATGTTCTATAGAACGAAACGTGTGATAAGTAAATATTTTCGCGAAGTTGTTTCGCAAAGTGTCCAACGATTTGAGAGTACTTGTGTGTCTCTAACTAATTTATTCGCGTCCCTGACTAACAAGTCACATCTCTTGCGTTTTTCGTGCGAAAAAAATGCGCTGCTCGGGCGCTTACCTGCGAAATGTTTTATGTCTTTTTCACGAAGCACAGTGAAACGACGGAGAGCGACGGATCGGATCGGGGATCCGGAGAGGGGGCGCGTGCGAAAACCGAGTTTTATTCCCGGCCCATCGCTCCGCGTAATATTACAGATAACGTTACACACTAGCGCTACAGGGCTATCGGAGATGCATATCTTTTGTTCTCTTTCTGTGTGGTTTTTTTTTACACGTATACACAAGCACATATATATATATATATGTATGTATATATATATATATATGTATAATTTAACTCGTGTGTAAAATAATGCATATAAATACACACTCGTATACATCAGCACAACGTTCGAGCACAACATTTGCATGCCCGTCACACACAATACATACACACACACACATACACACATACGTACATACACACATACCTTATCTCTTTTCAAGACTACGCGAATTTGTACATAAGACGCATCACGATATCAATGTCACTTCTTACATACAGACGTGATAACGACGAAGCGTGATACTCGCTCTATTTATCAGTTTCTGCTATCGAAAAGGTTCGGTAAATAACGTGAAACTTCGCGTTAGCGACGACTATATCGAAATGATGCGGGATGATGCGCGCGCGCGAGAGAGACGCGGATTAAGCTTCCTCAACTTTATAAGCTCGCGACCGTGCAATACGATCGTTTGCACGCCAAACAGGATATTTCGAGTTGCAGCCAGCTTCGAAATAGCGATAATTTCGAGATAGTGTACAGTTGTAATCTGGCAAATCATTTTCGCTGAAGATTTCGAGAGCATCGGAATGCGACGGGCCGTGGTGAGTCAGATATGTACAAAGCAAACAGATACTTTTTTTGATTATCGAAAAAAAAAAAAATAACTTTAGGAGAAGTATTTTCTAAGATTATGTTAAAGAGAGAGAAAATCTGGTTGAAAACTTTTTTTGGCGGTTTTACATAGACTGCAAAAAAGTGTAAAATATGAAAATCTATATAAAAATTCGACCTCAAAGCCGTGATCCAGCTGTTGTTCGTGGTAAATCAATTTTCGGAACAGAAAAAGATTATTTATTTGACGCTCGGTACGTTTCGATCATTTATTTTTTGATCTTCTGGTAAACATATCTGCAAGAAATATTTTCGTACTGTGAACGTTGTGCGGATAACAATCAGTCTTTACACAGTCTTTACACTGTGATTACGATCATTTACTAGTAATTGAAAACAGTCAAATGGAATAACAAAATCATGACTTTAGAAAGAACCTTTGTTATTGTTTGTTGACTCTCTCCGATTGTTGACATATGATTGAAAATACTTCTTATACATGTTTACCAGAAATTGGCCGAGGAGAATCAAAAAATAAATGATCGAAACGTCCCGAGCATCAAATAAATAGTTTTTTCTGTTCCGAAAATTGATATAACCATGAACAACAATGGATCACGGCTTCGAGGTCGAATTTGAGTTTTGATTTTTATTTATATTTTAAAGATCTGTTTTATTTTGCACATTAAAATCTACAAATACATTAAATTATATAGATTTACACAAAAAATAAATGTAGATATTACGTGATAAATAACGAAATTGTACAGAGATGTTTGTTTACACATATATTAGGTATTATGTGTAAATTGATGTAATTCTGTAAATGTTCGATATTAATAGTGGATAATATTTTTTGCAGTGCAAGTGCATTAATTTTCAGCAAAATTTGTAGATAAAGTTAATCTCGTTCTCTTGATATGTCGTACAATTTTTAATCAAAAAATCACAAGAATATCGTCAGATACGAAATATCTTGTTTTCCTTCGTACCATACCTGACAACTCGAGTCTACCTAATGTGAGATCTCTCTGACAGCTATCGAACGGGGGATCGTAACGTCCCCCACCCTTAGATTGAGTGAATATATATATGTATATATATATATGTATATATATGTACAACGCTGTGACGAAATATTTCCTCGCGATCACCACCCACACCGAGGATGTGTTTCATCATAATCGCTTAACCCGACAGTAGGTGAGCGTAACCGAAGCGATTGAGTCGAGATGGTTTTCGCTTCGAACGTTCGATCGATGCTCCGTCGTCATGTATTGCGGAGCAATAAGATTGTCTATCGGGTATTGAAATACATGCGTCGGAGACCGCAACAAGAAATTTGTATTAAAACAGCGATACAGCGAAAATTAATTGCACGCGAATCGTCCGTGAGATTGTGATCGCGAATCGATTCAGAAAGAAGCTTCGTCTAAACTTCGTTATATATAAATTTTTCAAAAATCGGCGCGATGTCATAGACGTTGCTCTGTTTAAAAAACCACCACACACGTACTTGAGACATTTAAAGAAACATATATTTTTGGACTTTTGCTAATCGTCGACTGACTCGATTTATAATTAAAAAAAAATCGAAAGCTCCGCGTCTCGAGAAATCTGAATGGCGAAAACCACGTAGTAGCGCACCTCCAACACAGGTAGTCGAGAACCAAACGAACGGAAAGCAAAGGAGAAAAAATACTCCTTTCTTCTTTCTCTTATTTTTTCTTCCTTTTTCTCTCTCTTTCTCTCTCACTTGGTGTGCTGCTTTGGGAGGTGCCGCTTCATGTGCAGCGCGAGATGATCGCTCCTGGCGAAGGAGCGCTCGCAGACCGCGCATTTAAAGGGCTTAGCCCCGGTGTGCTTGCGGTAGTGCCGCGTCAATTCATCGCTCCTGGCGAATCGCCACTCGCACTCCGGCCATTGACACTGATACGGTTTCTCGCCTGAAACAAGCCAAGAGAAGAGACACGAAGTGAGAAAATCACGCACAGTAGTTCAACGCACGCAATCTCGCATTGTTCAGATTAATATATATATATATATATATATATATACATACATGTATGAATCGCTCGAACTGTAATAAGTTGCTTAAATGTATTAGAGAAATTAGAGAAACGTGGCAATTCCAACTTTCTCGCCTTTAGAGATACTTGACTCTGAGTGACTCTCGTTAAAAACAACGCGCAAAATTGGCTTCTAAGATCCACCGATATTGATTTTCAACGTGATAATATTATTTCGCCTTGCTCAAATAATCACTCGTGGGATCAGAGAGACTAATTTTTTTTCGCTTATCTCAAAAACTCACGCTCATCAAAACAACACGCGACGCATCACGAGATCCAATTGAATGGATTTTTGCGTGTATCCCACAAGACGAGGATGCTGTTTGAATTTCGAGACGGTGACGACCTATTAGAGAACAAAGCGTTGCTCTTTACGAAGATAGAACTACGGGATGTGGTATACTTAGGGTATTATATATAGATATATATATAGATCTCTCTCTCTCTCTCTCTTTCTCTCTCGTCGCGCCTCTCAGCTGCGAGAGATGCAGCGCAGCGGTGTGACCTTTAACTGTACCTGCATGCCGCAACACGCTCACCTGTATTCTAGCGCAATCGCGGCGGCCGAAGCGAGCGACTGGCCGAATGCAACACACCGGCTAATGCGAACCACCAACATGCCCGCATTCCGCTTAAACTTCGCCGGTTATCGGAGAACGCGCCTTCCTGATTGTTATTATAATTGTTATTACCGCCGATGGCCGCTTTAACCTTTATTAAACGATGGGATTAAGAACTCGCGCGCAATTTCACGACATGATACAACAGATGCGCGTATCGGGAACGGAATAAGTTCGCGGTCAGTAAAACTTATAACGAGATAATCGGTGCTCGTGCAGATATATGGAACGCGTGTTTGTACGGTTCGGAAGGAATTAAATCCGCGCGGATTTCCCATTTGAGCGATTTTATTTCGGTTTTTAAACGAAATCTCTCCCGCGCTCGTCAACTCGTTCCTTTTGCTTATTGCCTATCGAACTCGATCGTATCTCCGAGTTTAAGCGAATTCGATCGCGACGAAAGATTCTTTTCGCGATCACGGTGTAAGAAGCGAGTTCGAGCGAGTACGGGCGCGAGTGAGTAAAGACGCTCAAGGTGCAAGGATCGACAAGGGATCCGGAGCGGAGGGACAGCCGAGAGGGTCGGGGAAGCGCGCACAGCAGAGGAGAAGAAAGAAGAACTCGATAGCTGAGAGATACACCCACGCATCCTCCTAGCTCGTTCCTGTCCCTCTCGCGCGGAATACGAAGACGACTCTAACCGGTCCTCGCGGTCGCCGCCGTCGCTGCCGCCGCCGCCCTGCGCCGCGCAAGAATTGCATTCAGCCTGCTGCAGCAGCACATCTCGCTTAGCCACGCGACGCACAGCCCAAGAAACGGTACTACCACCACGAGCGCCGTCCATTTACGGTATCGCACGTTCACGTGAGAGAATTTTTCTCCCAGCGAATTTTCGCCGTGAGGATTAAACGATTCTCGCGAACGAGGCGATGTTTCGCGCGCGTTTAATTTTGCTTCACGATCAGGCCGAGATTAGATTTTCTATTAAAAAAGTATCTTGAAATTGAATTTATACAATAGTTCGATCGAAATATAATTGCGGCAAAAAAAATCAAGAGTTTAATACGATTTATATTGAAGTTGGATACACTTTAAAGGTTCTTCAAATCATCGTCTTCTTCGCGATATTCGGCGCAAGTTATTGTGAAATCGATACGAGGAGACGAGTGGCAATTTTGTTTTTTCGCGTGCTTTCGCACGGAGCGCGCGACGTCTCCGCAAATCGTGCGAGTCGATCGGTCGATCTGGCGACACCCACGAGGCCTCCAGGCGTCCTCGTTAATTTTGGATCACTTTCACCCAGAGAGCCAGCCAGCGGGCACACACGCTCCGCAACGCGTGCGGAAACAAGTTGCTTTCCAAATACGCTTGCTAACCCTACTTTGCTCCAGATTTCTTCAGCCAACGGGCTTTCTCGCGAAGCCCAGTTTTTTTTTTTTTTTCTTATTAGCTTCTCCAAGATAACGCTCGAGACTCGATTACCTCACAACGTTCGAAAAGATTTCAAAGGTTGAAGCGGATCGAAATTCGTCGCAATAAAATCTGAAGAAAGCGTCGAAACTATAAGGTACTCCAACCGAACTATATAAGATATTTTTACAGGTGACGTAATGATATACCTAATCGTGTACGCGTGTACATATGTGTGTGTGTGTGCATGTGTGTAGTATGTTTCAAAGAATTTTATATTACAGATGTCGGGGATTCTTTGGAGCAACTTGTTTCGAGTAATTAAATGCGCGCTGTATAAAAATAAATATGTAAAAATAACCTGCTAATTGGAAGACTGAGTCTGCGAGACCCACTCGACTTTAGAATCGAATATCTCCGCGAGAAATCAATATTTTTAAATTATTTTTTAAATCGAAACTTTGAACGATTCTACATCGATCAAAAAAAGAAAACAAAATTGAAAAAAAAATTTTTAGTAGTTTTGAAGATATAAGCGTTAAAAAAAAAAAAAAAACTAATTTTTAATAGAGACACCGGTTTGCAATTTTTTAGTGGGAGATCCTTGTTTAGGATCTCCCAAAGGGTTGATAAATACATATTATATTATTTATATTACATGAATAAATAAAAAATTTATAGTACATACAGTATTTCTATAAAACAATCAATTATATATCGTCTTGATTACAAACTTGTATTTTCGTACAACATATAATGAGATGTGTGCGCCGATGAATTAATAACAAAGTCGACGTTGAACATGCCGCTTGTGGCATGGGCACATTCACAATAGTGCGGCGAGGGTTCATTCACGAGTCGTCTGACTGACTCGCGCGCGCGCGCAAGAGAAAGAAAGAGATAGAGAGAGAACACCACGTGCCCCCCTCGGCTTCTCCGCCGCCGCCGCCGCACCGAAGAAACGTTCTCTCCGTCTCTCAGCACGCCTCTGTCTCGTTCGAGAGTTTGCGCGACAAATTGAAATATCCTCGCATAATCTCGCGAATCGATCGATTCTCAACAGATCGATCGACGAAACATTTGTAAGAAACTGATCGACGTGCGCGTCGTGAGGAAATGTAATAACTATTAACCATCGTTAACGCGTCGCGTACGCGTAGAGAAAAAGAATTCACGTGTACAATTGTGACAATGGAAATTTAATACGAGTTAATAGTTGACGCGCGCATATTTGTACAGTCAGTCCGCGCAAACGAGACAATTGCGTTACGAAAGTAATTTCGGAAACGTAAGTATATCGTGCGATAATACATATTTTAACACGCGATATCTTGCCTCTTTAGTTCTTCTAATTGTGATAGGTCAATTATTTGATTACATTTGATTACATTTCGTGCGCATTCTATATAGCGCGCGCGCGATCTGCTTGTTGTCGTTCGATCGATTTGTTCGAGGTGATGACACGCGAGTTTTACCGCAAAAACCTAGCGAGATATCAATTCGAAAGTGGTACATCGCACTTAAGATGCCTCCGGCTTGCATTCCGCGAGGCTGCCGCGCGCGTAGGCACGTGTGCGGGAAGCATATTTCTCTCTTTCTTTCTCTCTCTCTCTCTCCCTCTCTCGCTCTATCACGCGAACTTCTACGTGTGTGGGAACCGACATGAGTATTTCACTCAGGTAGCACATACGGCGCGCTGTTGGTGTGTTGGGACGTTCGTGTGTTTCAATGTGTTGGCTTGCAGAGCTTGAACACGGAGATAGGATGTGGGTCGGTCGCTAGCTTCGCTGTCTCTCTCTCTTTCTTTCTCTTTGTCTCTCTATGAGGCAAAGAGCGGAGAGTCGCATACCACGAGAGTTTCGTGCGTCCCTTATTGCGTTTACATATGATAGAAGCGTCTTTGCACGACGCTGCACGTAAGCAAGGAAAGGGAGACATAGAAACGAAGAGTGAAAAAGAGAGAGAGAGAGAGGGGAAGAGAGAAGAGAGAAAGAAGAGAGAAAGAAAGATGGAGAAAAGAAAGGAAAGAAGAGGAAAAAAGAAAGAGAAAGAGAGGGAGAGACGTTCGGGACCGCGCCCTGCCCACGCGCGAGCGACCCGGCGCGCTCGACCTCGCGCTTTCGAACTCTTCGTCTCTCGCTTCGTAGATGAGCTACATACCTAATTACCAGAGAATACACGGAGGCCCCTCCCCTTTAATTTTAGCGCCCGCTCTCGCTCGTGTGTTAACAGCGCGGCATACGTGATCCGCCGGAATATACAGTGCATTTTCACTCACCCGTGTGTATCCGCTGATGAGCCTTCAGATGCGAGCTCTTCGTGTAGACTTTTGTACAACCTGCGGAGAAGAGAAAAATAGAACAATAAAGTATTTAATCTATATAAGCTGTTTTCCAGAAACAAATAGGTGAATATCGTCAAGTCTCAATCAGGCAAAAATTAAAGTTCATTTTGCGTTCCAATGCTCACCTATAAAATCGCAGTGGTGCACCCGGCGCTTTTCCAGTTCCGGATTATTTCGCCGATTGAACTTGGCCGTCATCGACGGCGGCTGAATCCTGTGGGCCGGATTCAGAATCGGGCCCGGTTGCGGATAAGGCGGCGGCGGTGTTCGTCTGGGTGGACCGGCGCCGATTGGCGAACCGGGATCGGAGATCGGTGGCGTCAGCGGTGAAATATACATCAGCCTCGTCATCGAGCCGTAGAGCGGCGATGTCGCGTTGCCGCTCCCCTGGTGATGACTCGTCGTCGACGATTCACTGTTACCGTTGCTGCTTCCGTTGTTGTTGTTACTCGCATTGTTGCCGCTACCGTTATTGCTACCGGTGTTGTTGCCGTTCGCGCTATTATTATTAACAGTCCCGCTGTTGTTATTGTTATTATTATTATTGTTGTTATTGTTGTTATTGTTAGGGTAACTTTTGAAGAGCGCGGTCGTCGTTGTCGTCGTCGTCGTCGTTCGATGATGGACGACGTGCGGAACGCTGGAGACGTTTGGGAAGTGGTTCTGCGCGGGATTTGCGGTTGGTCCCTCGAGAAGATGCAGAGTCGGTGGTGGCGGCAACGGTTCCGTCTTGATTTCCACCGGCGACAGGACCGGAGACGGCGTCACGTCGTGCGTCTCCATCTTCACGTGGGACTGCGAGCCGAGCATGTCCGCGTTCTCCGGGTCCAGTTTTTGAATGCTCGACGTGATGTCCTCCCAGAGCGGCGGCCTGAGAAACACATCGTCGTCCTGGCCGCCGGACGTCGGCTGGCTCCTGGCGGAGACGAAGCTGGCCTGCGGTCGGCACACGGTCGCGGCACCGCCGACCTCAAAGAAGTCCTCCATGTGAACCGACGACGGCTCCCGCGCGTCCCTGACGTCCGACTCATCCTCGTCGAGTCTCTGTAGACGATCGAGATCCTGCCTGCACAGCAACGTGTCCAGATCCGACGTCTGCTGAAGACAGAAAGAATAAGGACTCGTCGTGTATAATTATGGAACCGTCGGCCGTTCTAGCGTTAAAGGTTTGTAAATGCCGAGGAGAGAAGGGATATATCATACACGGAGGGCGAGTGACTTGCGGTATGGTGATACACGCGACGCGTTAGTCCTCGGGGCCTCACCGGGACCCCGTTAACATGCGCAACGCCGACGTCTCGCCCTACGACGTCCGCACAGCACGCGCGATTGAGGAGGCGCGAGGGGAGGAAGACGAAACGCGGGAGGCTGGCGATGTCGCGTCATCCTTTGCATGATTTGTACACGAGCAACGCCGCCCTCACGCCCGATGGTATACACCACTCGTGCTTGCTCCCTTCCTCCTCTTCCCTTTCTCTTTCTTTCTCTCTCTCTGTCTTTCTTCAATTGTCGAAAGACGACGAGTGCCGCCACTTGAATCGATGGCGATGGAGAAGTCGATACACGTTGTCGGGATGTTTTCGCGCCGGAAACGTATTGAGTATCGAGCGGAAAGGTGACAGAGTTACGATAATGTATCGAACGTTCTTTTTTATGGCTTTTATATATATTTTCGTCGAAGAATCTCTCTCTTTAAAATCGCACACGCACACACACACACACACACACACCCCGAGCTTTTGTTACTCCCGATCGGTCTTTTGCCGTGCTCTCGCGGCTTGCGCGGACTTCGCAGTGATTTATGAATTATTTACACAATGAATAATTCATCGCCGGAGAAGATTGGTACACTCGCGACACTCGATCCGTACATGATATGCAATTTGAAAAGGAGTTTGTGTCTGCGCGCGAGCGCGCAAGTCAAAACATTAAACTTTAAAAACAAAAATCTGAAAATCTCTCTCTCTCCCTTTCCATCGCGAAGATGCTCCCGACTTTGCGCGAAAGAGATCAGCAAATATACGGCAAGAAGAACTTCGGCGCATCCTCGCGACTAGAAAAAAAAAAAAAAAAAAAAATCCGAATCGGAGAATTCGGAGAGCGAGTCCGAGAACGTTTCGCAATTTTTCTTTCTCGCGATTCGTCGGGGCGGCGGGGATCAGCCGCCTCTTTTCCTGTGGTCTCTCGTCTGTGGTGTCTCTTTCTCGCGTTGCGATGATAATGATAGTGCGGATCGTGCGAGCAAAGTTCGTCCATCCGGCTATTAATGCGCGTAATCATAGAGCCAGGGTCGCCGGTGTTAATAATGCGTTTTCGAATCTGTCGGAGCGAGCGCACGAACACCCACGCCGCGTCGATACTGCGTCGTCATTATATATACCGGAATACGTTGACGTGTGTGCGCGTGTTGCACGTATATATACGCGCGTGTATACTCCCACGCTCTCGCGTCCATGAGCGCATACGCGGCTACGTTTAATATATCCCTCCCCGCTTGATTATTCCAGTTGATCGCGAGCTGGTTTGTTAATCGCGCGCACCAACAACAACGATGACGGACGTCGTAATCGTCCTCGGAAAAGGAATGATTTTTTTTTCCTCGGCTCAGAGAGCGCGAGCCAATAAATCGACTTCGCCGCTTATTCCGGGCGAACGCGAGAGATATCCGTTCTCCTGCGACTTGATTAGCATGCCGTCAATGATACCGGAGCAACCGAGAGAGAACTTTTCTCGCTTATTGCCGTCGGTGTTGTTGCGTTAGCGGAAAATTCACGTGAAAAATCTTGCGGAAAAAAATATGAAAAAGATTAAAAATAGAAAAAGATAAAATAATACTCAGAAAAAAAATAAAATACTAGAGATACGACAAATAAACAACTGCCACCGTTGAAAACCACAAAACTCGTCTCCGTACGTGTAATAAAATTAGAGAAACGTGTAATAATAATTTTTTTTCTGAAGCACATTGGCGTCGAAAGATATTGCAACGCTTGTTGCAACGCAAGTTTTCAAGAATTTTCTTGTCCCGCTCTTTCAAATAAATCAAAATGATAAATATAAAAAATAGCGCGTGAGAAATTTGTTTTAAAATGTACTCGCGCGAGCTCATATCAGATTATGTAACATCATCGGCGCCTGTTCGATACGATGATCTCCGATAACGGAGCGAAGTGCCGATAGTACTCGAGTCGCGTACTTCATTATTATATCAGAAGCGGATTATCGCGAAGCGAAGCTTTACATTACAGCAACGCGACAACGTGATCTATGAGAAACACGGATTAATTGGAAGAATCTAGACAATACGTAATAACGCGAGACGCCATGCTGTTTCGCGGCGAGGAAACGCGTAGCGCGCAGAAGCGACCAGACTCGCCGAATCAATCTGGGGAGGCCACACCCTCTGACCTAAAGCCGTATTATCACGATAAACGCCCAGGAAAATGTCAGCCATGAAGCAGCTCCGAAGTGTCCTCGTGCGCAAGTCTCCACCGAAATGCGCTTATCATCGTTACACGCGCCACCGCGAATAGACCCACCGCGCGCTCGATATCACGCGCGATCGCAATCACGCTATCCGCTTCGAAATAAATACATTTTCGAAGAAAGCGCGAACACACATCGCGCGGCGATGACATATGTAAAAATTGTATTTCGCATAATCTCGGAGAAATGTTACTTGAAGTAAAAAAAAAAAAAAAAAAAACCGCGAATATAGGCCCGTCTTTTTTCTCCTCTTTGTGAAAAACAACCTTCGCACAAAGATTGACATCGAGGTGACAATCCTGATGGTCGCGTCGTGTGTTGGAGACACATTCGCGGAGATAGGACTTATGGAATGCACGGCGCGAGGTCCTTCGCGCATCCTCCGTCGCTTTTTTCTCTCTCTCTCTCTCTCCTCGAAGAAGGGTCGTATGTGCATTCGTGTGGCGCGGCGCGGACACGTAGATTCTATCTCTCGTCCATTCAGCCGCCTAGGTAATAAAACTCCTGCGTCCATTATTTACTTGCATTATCGTTACTTTACGCCCACGCGGACGCGCCGTATTTATGGTGAAATTATTCAGCATTATTTCGCGGATATGAATAAGATGATGGCGGAGATACGGCGCCGCGCCACGCGATGCGCCGCCGCCGCCGCCGCCGCCGTATGCAATTCGCGAAATCTTTCACAGAGAGACGGAAAGCGAGAGATTGAGCGCGCGTTCTTTTGCAACAACACCGCGGGGAGGGTGTAATCGCGCGCGATCGAGAGATCCGATAGATCGCGAACGATCGAAGCGCGAAGAAGAAGAAGAAGACCGAATTCAACCCTCCCCTAGATTTTGCGCTATATATACGCACACGCGATATAGGCAATAAAGCGAGCCATCATCGACATTATCACCGCGTGACGAGATTGCCGGAGTCGATATTTCGGCCAATCTGTTGGAAACCCCGCCGGAAGCGACGGTCTATCTTCTAAAAGTATGGCCGGTGGTTGGAAAGGGGAGAAAATCGATAATCTCCCGGCATATCGTTGCGCAAGTGCGCCTCTGAAAGGATGGCGCGCGGCGGGATTAGGATGAGGAGGCAAATGGCAGCAATGGCGGCGATGGCCGCGCGCCGGTATATAGGCGCAGGAGAAGAGAATATCATTGTTCTCTGTGTACATTTCGTAAGTAGATTGGTATTTGTGATGCAAGTCAAGCTGCCGCGGTGCTGCTGCTGCTGCTGCTGCTGTTGCTGCTGCTGACCTTTAAACGACTTTCTTTTAGGCTACGCGTGACTTGATCTCGGAACTCGATTCTCTCCCCCCCTCGTTGTCGTTCCCCGCGCGACGACGCAAGAAGTGATACGTGCACCGGCGGTATCGCGCCCCGAGTTCGCGTAACGTCCAACTCTGATCCTATGTGCAATGTATATTATTGTATACACACGCGTGTGTGTGTGTACGTGTGAGCGCGCGCATTATTATTGCGCGATATCTCTCTGATTCCCGAGATGTCAGCTCGCGCTCTACGAGCCGCGCGAGTTCCGTGTGCGAGAGATTCCGAGATATCTACTCCGGTCGCGTTCTACACAACTAATTACTTGGTACACGAAGACAATTTCTTGCGCCGAAGTTTTATATACATACATGTATATGTCTCTCTCCGTATAATCGAGCCTGAACAATCTCTTAATAGGATTATTCTTTTGTGTTTCGAGGCATTACATAAAAGCGCGCGCAAGCACGTTGCACAAATAATTAATCCAAAGTCTGTCCTCCCAATACGGGGCGCGCGATGTGCGATTTGGTTTGATTTATCTCTATAAGTGCTCTCGACTGATAAAAGGATGACGAATCCTCGCGACGAATTATCGCGACTCGACGCGCAATCGGCACGTCTCTGCGGCGCGCGATCCGTTTGTCTTGTCCGTCGTGACTCGCACGTCCAAAAAAACTAACTAACTTCCCGGCCGGAAAATTACTTAATGAATATGGACATGCGATGCTTTATGTCATATTAAAACGCACGTGTTGTTGTGTATACGCGGGCACGTCCTTTCGCGGAGCGAAAGTTTGACAAGCACGCTCGTGTTACCTCGGCACGTGGCACACGCGCGCCGCCACGCCGGACCCTTTCCGATCCCTTGTGGGGTGTTCACGTGCGATGGTCGCGCGATAGAGTTCGTCGCTGTTTGTCCACAACCATTTAACGAATCGATTCCGCGACGTTACGATCGAATTAACCGGAGATGCCGTAGGTCATCTGCGATGACGTTAGATTAATCGCCGTCATAAAAGTCATTACATCATTATTATTGCTTCGATATTAGCGTTATTCAGTTTTCCTAAATGCGAGAACAAATACGATGGTTAATCGATTAATCACACACACACACACACACACTCTCTTTTTCTCAAGACGTTTCTTGCCACATTGTTGATTATGAATAATAGACATTTATATATATATATATATATATAATCGAACATATTTGATTGTCAATTCTTCTGCTCATCGTCGCCTACCCTCTCTCCCCTCCTCTTTCCGCCCTAACCGGTCGAGACCGCACTTTTATTCTCGTTTCTTCGCTTCGGCTCGCCACGGCATGGCACGCTTCATCATCGA